ATTATCCCTGATTACGTCAAAAGTATGTTCCTAGACTCAAAACCATTTACACTTCTGCGAGATTACGTCTACTTCTATATTAAATGCTAGATTTCGCTCGCTCTGAAAAAGAGCTTTCCAATATAACATATCAGAATTTAACGATCAGCAATTTTCAGTGATGACTTCATCACTTATTTCAAAGATGGCCGTCGAACAAGCATTTTAAGACAAAAAGCTCTGATTCTAATCAAACGCATTCGCATCGTTTACTAATGTCTCTTAATGCTACAATAATTTATAACTCCCGACTCTGTATAACCCCCGCTCCCTCTTTGAATACCCCCATTCCAAATAAATAAGAAAATAAACCCAGAGGACTGATAGAGGATTACGTACGATATTCGCCTCATAGTCCCACTTACGCCCGAATCCTCGACGAACTAAATCATTAAACTTCACCGTTCATTCTCTTAGTTTCATCAAAGTCAGGCTACTAATAGGTCACGAGCGTCCATACAATAGAGCTCTGCTTGTTACCTGTGATTCATTACTAGCTATTTCGACACAAAATAAATTACGCCCTATCTACCTCTGACATCTCTTGCATTTTCTTCAGAGCAGGAGTTTCATTAGCCACTTTCACATCTGCCCAACACTTTCTGAAAATCGGCTCTTGTTTTTCCGTCTTGACTTCAAAGAAGACGCGCACAGGGGCACGCTGAAGCAAAAAAGATTTCAAGATAGACATCTTTCAGAATATCCTTCCAGCCCACAACTTTAGAAAAAAAGTCTACGATAGTTCTACGCCAACCCAATCCACACCCCCCCCCAACCCCCCCCCCCCCCCCCCCCCCCCCCCCCCCCCCTGTAGGCTATCTCTTGGAATGTGAATTCAGGAAGTAGTTTAAGTTAGTTTCATTTTTGTACATTTTTAGTCTTGTCCACATATCTTTCCTTGACCTGCGAATACATTACCATTTTGACAAACTTCTGAAAATCTTCTTATATCGCCTATCCAACTAAACCACTTCTTCTCCAAAGGCTGTCAAGCAGTTCAAGGTATCGCGGGCTCTTGATGACTTTCTTCAGCAACCTTACCTTTCCTACGTTGCGGAAATAGGATTTAGAATTACACCCAGATAAAGCATGTAAAGCCTGTAGATTAATGCAAACATCCCTTCCGAAATGGGAACCATTTGCGTTTTACATGGAGAAAAGCAAAAGCCCAATGTGTCTTCTTTCAGAAATCAGTCTTATAAAATCAATTTGCTTCTAATTTCGATACAGGAGATCGTGGCATTTAAATCCTTGCAACATGTTTTGGTAATAAACTTCTAAATGACCCCTTGGCCCAGGTTCACCAACTTATACCCAGCTTCAGAAGCAACAAATTTGATAAGGCTGTGCATCCGCGCTTGGTACGTTGGCATCGGTTTGATGGAGCGAACTGCTGCCACTCCGTCTACTATCCAAACGGCAGACTTCGGAGGCGTGTCTTTGATCCATTGCCACTCTTCGAGCAAGAGTCGTTGCAAAGTTACTTTGTCTGACTGACACAAAGTTAAACCAGCTGTAGCGATAGTAATTGAAAAAGGAACGGTTGTCAGGGGATGAGTAAATGCCTCTAGCAGACTTCCTGCCTTCAAAATGAGTAGTTAAAGGCCTGTTTTTGTGTTCCTTGACCACGGTTTTGTGTTCCTTGACCTTTTCCAGATCTGTCTTCAGCTTTGTTTTTATTGATCGGCGTGAAGAATTTAACGCTGCCATTAATCAGGCGATCATTTGTGAAGCGATGCATATTCTCTTCTCCCATGATCGACGCTGCAAGGAGGTCAGTAGAATTTTATTAATCTAATTCTTCACCAGTTAAAGTCGATTTTGCAGGAGCAGCAGAAAGCCAATTGGTTACATAGCTTTGAAGAGTTCTCTAAGGCTATCGTTATGCTTCTGAAGGAGCTTTGTCCCACCTGGAATGCTGTACTTGTGAATTGATGATGACCTTACGAAAAAGTATTGCTTCAGAGCCCCTCTAAACTTGCTATAAATGTGGGACGTAGCAATCCAAGTGTTAACCGCATTAACGTTTGCTGAAGCCAGACCTGTATGGACCTGCAGTCCCTTTAGCTTCTTTATTAAACAGCTCTGTATGTAAATCGCAATGAATTGCAGATAATTTGTTTTGAAATTTCCGCCAAATCCTTATTTATTCCAATCTTGGAATGCTGTAGTTTGCTCACCCTCACCCTGTAATGATTGAAGTGCAATGGAAAAGCAGATGCTAGTATGCACAGTAGCGGGCATAGTTGATGTGATTCAATGCAAATGTAAGCAGAATCATATTTCGCACTGCTTGCAAAAGTAGCTTAGTGTTGCTTTTCTGGAAAGCTGCTACCATGCTCAACAAAGCAGACAAATTGTCCAGCTTAGCGATTTCAAGACACTTTTAAGTTTTTTGACGATTTTCAAGAATCAACAGTTTTTTGCATCAATCTGCCATAACTTATGGGCATTGACTGTGTGTGTTTTTTGGAAAAGACGTTGGTGAACCCATGAGTTGATAAAAGCAACCCATCAGCACCTTGACCTGGCTATACAAGTCAGCATTCGTTCACATATTTTGGTTTATCTTTGCCTTCCCCATTTCATCCGCATGAACAAAAATATTAAATATGTCAAGATCATATCTAAGAAAGAATCAAGGTATATTCCTTGCATACTGGATAGACAGGCACCTTATCAGTGATTGGCAAGTTATCTAGCCCTGTCAGGGGTATTAAACAAAGTAATAAACTATATAATAACTATTCCCTCCTGCCTCCTGGCAATGCCAATGATATAAGCCCTTGGCCTTTGTGCAAGCTCGGTTTCGTACGGACGGCTTCAGGTCCGGTCTTCGGAAACAATTATTTTAGGTTTAATTAATAAAATTAAAAGAATAATAATGAAAAACTGTGGATGGCGAAGAAGGAGCTTCTTCTCTGTTATAAGAAAGTGTCAAGCAAAATCATGCATAATGTCAAATCGCGATAATGCCAAATTGTGCCTAGCAAAATCAGAGTCAGCTCGCTGGTCGACGGCCATTTTGAAAGTGATGACGTCATCACTGAAAATTGCTGACATCGTTAAAATACTGATATGTATATATCATTGGAAAGCTCTTCTTCAGGCGAGCCCGAATCTAGCATTTATATTGAAGTCAGACGTATACTTGAGAAGTTACAATGGTTTTGAGTCTAGGAAACATAACCTTTTTGACGTCATCGGTAACGTGACTTTGATGAATTTTTGAAAATGTTGTAAGGGCTTAAATTATTCGTTATACCATAGTGTTCCATAATCAGCCGAGAAAACAAAGGTTAGGCAATGCGGTCGATGGTTCAGAGGAATGCCCTGCCTACTTGGTTCTCCTTTGAATCTGTAGGGGAGGGGGATTCAGAACGAGAGCATCAAGCACCCCCAAATTCTTTGAACGAGTTCAAGGCTGACTGTGTCGTCATTACGAGGCTAATCCAAAGCATGATAGCAAAATGGTGGATGTAAATACTGCTTTTTGAATTGAAAATTGGAAGTCTTCACAAATTATCAACTGCATGAAGGTAAGGTAGTTGAAGTTGCATGCGTATACTATTTTTTGCACTGATTTGCTGAAGCATTATAAAATTAGGGTTTATTTTAGCGCAGAAATATAATGACTACCCCAAGTGGCTCCTTTTTAGGCACTTTGAAAATCGTCATTATAAAGCATGCAAAACTAATATCTTCAGCCTCAAGACACCAAGGCTGGAATATTGCTTGCAGCTAGGGGTAGCCGATTTCTTCCCACCTTTCAGATCATGGAATATATGCGTTTCTTTGTCATGGATCTTAAAACTCGTGCAGAATCTTAAGCCATATACAAATCATTTCTGTGGACATTTAATTTTGATTTCATATATTTACTCAATGCAACTATCAGGTAACTCTTTTTACAGTATACCTTAAAATCAAATCAAACAAATATCAATTGTCTTTTTGCAACAATTTGAGGTGGATACCTGCCAGACTGGAAGCTTTGTTTCTTGCTCGGCCAAGTTGATTGAAAGTTTGTAACTAAATGCCTGAAATCACACAAATATAAGAAATTTGTATTGTTGATTAATAAGGCGAAATGTTATTAGATAGGGACTTTGCGTAGCCAATATGCAAAAGCTGATGGATGGAAAATTTGAGTGCACAGGCAATATGTTGCGGGTGTGTGACAAAGTTTCCAGTCTAGGATACCTATTTGAATCTGCTAAGAGGCTGCCTATTGATTCTGCTCCTCTGTAACTGAAAAGCTTTTTACAATTTGCCATTTCATCTTTCCTAAATGAAATTTACTTAATTGAAAGCAGATGCTAATAAGCTTTTTCTGCAAACTTGTGAACAAAACTTTTCACCGATTACTCTTCTTTTCTAATTTTCTTTTATTGCCTCAGGTGCTGGATTATTTAAAGAACCTATAATTTGCAAATGGGAAGCTATGGTTTGGTTATATTGCAGAAGAGGATTTTTCAATCTCTCAAGAAAACATGTTATTTGGAAGAGAAGTTTCAAAACTGGTAAGATTCATATGAAGCATATAATTTCGATTTTTAAGATGCCATTTGCTTTTGTAATTTATTTTTTTCCTCAAGATTTTCTTCATATTTGATATTTTTTTCACAAGAGATTTCAAAATAATTTGAATCACTTTACACCAACCAATCATTTTTCAAATCTAGTATGGTGGACCACAGCAAAAATATGAGTGAGTAAAAAAAATCAGCAAGCTGAGTGCAAATAAACTAATTGGGAATTATTTTAACTGAAATATGAACCACCTAATATTTAAATTCCCCTTTTATTCAGTTTTTATATGGTCTTTAGGGACGACTTCTCAAATCTTGCTTCAATGATATTTATCTGTTTTCTTGATTCTGCACATCTATGATTCTTTTTGTTTTTCTTGTTAAAATTGTTTTTTCCTCTTTAATGTAAAATTAATATTTATAATTGTTTTATTTTGTTGTTGCATATCAAGCTTTTATTTCCTAGGAACTGTGTGTCATTGTAATGACAGAATATCATGGAGTCCTCAAGTAGAAATGTATGTCAGGAAAATGGTCAACAGATATGATCTGCTTAGTGAAAAGATGATAAATGTTGGTATTCTACATAGCTTTATCTGAGTAATATCTTCTTTGTTTTGAAAATTTTTTAAGTTTACTTGTATAAACCATTTTATACAATGGTATGTATAAAATGGTTTACCTCTAAATGTAATAGGGGATTTTACCCTGATTAGCAACCAAAGGTGTAAATTTTTGCAGCAAAACTTTTTTCCAAGGGGGTTTCACACCCTCATGCCCCCACAAAGTGATGGACCTTCCCTCCCTACTGCAATTCTTTGTTGATGTGACAGTATGTCTGAAAGGCATTCATCATTATCAAACATTCCTTAATGAATTTCAGCTTAGTGGACAAGGGAAGCTGCAGGCCCCCAAACACACTAATCTTGTAACTGTAATCATTTGTGGGATTTTGTTTTAACTTTTGCCATAGAAGTAATTTCAACAAAAAACATGATCATTTGAATGTTTGATAAATGTTAAATGTTATGACCATCTTTTCATTCACCACAACACATCATTTGTCATTTAGATAGGATCATAAATTTCCTGTCACAGGAATTAGATTGTTCATCCTCTTGATGTGACCACACCTCATGACTTCTTAGTTTGGTCATTTCAGGGACTCAAACCCCAACATTTTGGATCTGTTGTCTGCAACCCAGACCACTGAGCCATCCTCATACCCAAGAATCAGATTGCTCTAAAGTTTTGTCCGGCATGCAAGAAATACTTTTTGCACTGGATTGACTTCTTTTCTCAAATCAAATTGAACCGCTTCAAACCCCCCTCCCCAATTGTTTCCACCTTATTTACTATTACATTGAGCCATTTTGACTCCTTCCCCAGTTGTTCTCCCCCTCCCCTGTTTATTTTGTACTAGAGAGTGCACAGTTTGTGAAGTTAAAGGCTCTAACATTAAGTCCTTATCTTATGTATTTTGATAATTAACTTTGTTTACCATGTCTGGTGGTATGAGTGTCTTGTGTTAATAGATTGTTCAATTAACTGCAGCTACAATATACACCTACACCAAATATAATTGCGTAGCCTAGCATTCTACTTATTTTTATGATTATCTAAAACGTTGCCTTGGTTACTTGCTCTGTGAGTCACTATGGCTTTGGAAGGTTTAGAGAAACATTTTTGCTGCCCATTTTTTGTTTGCCTCATGACCCATTGTTCGTTCATTATTCAAGCTTTGGCTATTAATTTTCTTTCCAGGATCTTGACCAGTCAGAAATCAAGAAAACATCAAAAGCTTTGCAGCAATTAGCTCCTGTGAAGGAGCTGTATCACACTCTCCTTTCTAAACGCAAGGTACCTTGTTATGTTAAATATGAATCATCGCAATATCTTAAAATTATCTTAGTTGTCAATTATAAAAGTAAAAGTGCAGATTCGATATCCTTTGCCAGGCCTTTTCGTAAGAAATAGCCCACGCGAGTGGCCCATCGCTCGCTGCTCTGCGCGAGCGATCGCTCTTATAGTGAAAAATTGTTCAGGACTGTTATAAGGTACCCTTTTGTTTGAGGTAACATCAAATGAAAAAGAACTGTTACGATTATCTGCAATGCACTCAAAGAAGGACTAAATCCGCTTTATAACTGTGCTTCGTCTATAAACTTTACGTACATCACGATGGTCATAAAGACGTTATTGCCGATGATCGCAAAATATTGTACCATACATTTTAAAAAAGGCTCACTGCCCAGAAAATGTCCAAAGTGCTATTGTTGTTAATTACTAAGTACCTAAAGTATTCCTAGACATTCGCTGTGGAATTGATTTTCAAATGCATTTTTTCATTGAGATGTGGTTAAGTCAGCTTACTTATATTTCCTGTTTTTTGATATAACGGCTTTTTATTGTCTATTGTCACTGTCATTGTCACTTTTATTGTCACTTGCTTGGTTCACAAAAGATGACTAGAATTGTGTTTACTGATGAGACTTTTATTCCTCATAATTTATCGTTTTGCGGGAACGATCAAACGCTCGCGTGGTTGGGTTTCTGCGAGTGTTGACGCGATAGCGCGTTGGTGATCGCTCGCGTCAAACGAAAAGGCCTGTTTGCATTAGTTGCTATGACCATCCAAATTTGATGAATGTGCAGTGATATGTTATCTTTTTGTGAAGGAATTGTTGGAGTTGTCATCAGAAATGATTGATGATGAAGAATTCTCGAAACTGGTAACTGAGGAGATCCAAGACTACCGCAATCAGATAAACGATGTGCAGGTTCATATATTTCCTACGTTCTTCCACAATATAAATCACTTGTTTGTATCTAAGTGAACCAGCTGCGAACTTTTTGTAGGGAAATTGAATAATCCTTTGTTGTAATTCCTTATAATTATTGTAGCATATAGTCAATTTCATTTTGTCCCATTTTGCTGGCTCAGTTTAAGAAGGACATTGGAACCTAAGGAGTGTCATTGGGTTATAGGATTGTGTTAAAAGCCTAATAAAATCCAATCACGCTGAGTTAATTTATCTCAGGCTGAAGACAACTAGTCAAATGAGAATCAGACCCAATCAGGCTAAATTTCAATGGAATGAACTTGTTTCTTCAATTGTTGAATTCAAGCACCGCCCCAGGCTCTAATCTCCGACGAGCGTTTCTGAATGGTTCATAGTTTTTGTTCATTATCAAGCTTCAAACCATCTTTACTGCTCTTCCTATTTCAGCAAGATCTTGTTTCTATGTTGTCACCTAAAGATACTGATGACGAAAATAGTGCAATTTTAGAGGTTAGAGCCGGTATGTCCTCTCAAATTTACATAATAAAATTTTTCATATTTATTTCCACAGTAATTTTGTTCATACTTTCAAAGTTGTGTCCCTGGCCGTCTTTTTCATTTTGATATGTTTTGATACATGCACGGTCCTATTTTATCTAACAGCGCCTACTTAAAGATTGTCAGCAGAAAAATTGCTTTGACTTTGCTTTCAGGAATTCAAATCTACAAATCATTAATTGATACTCTTCAATACCCTGTGTCATCCATGAGCACTTGCATGTTGACCACGTGTCAGTGATATGCTTATACTATAGCTGAGGCTGTTTAACGAAAAACAAAACCTTCGATCAAAGCTCTACAATTGGTTTATACGAAATACAAAATTTCAAATTCTTGTTTCTCGTTTGTTATTTTCACCTTTTTTGCAGCCTCTTCTACTCGTTATAGTCTGTTTCGAAATCCATAATTACTTTTCTGTTGCCACACAAGAAGGCTTGTTTTTCATAATCTTTATTACCTATTAACTAAAAATATTTAGAAAAGATGATTAAAGCGACTTTATATGCAGGAACTGGTGGAAAAGAAGCATCTCTTTTTGCAGCGGAAATCTTTGCTATGTATCAAAAGTGAGTGACATTTTCAGTCTTAGGCTTTTGCCTAAAGAGCAAAACATTTGTATTAAACTTTGCCCAACTTGTTTTTTCCGAAATTTTGTCTTGTTCCTTTTATGGGCGTAATTTCTTATATTGCTCAACGATAGTGGTAAGTTTAGCAGAACATCAAATAGAATCTTAAAATTAATGAATCTTTCACGATTATTTAGTTTGAGCTAATTTTGGTTCCAATCCGTATTATTTCATAATATACTTTTCGAATACTGACACTGTCATATTTGAAATATATATTTTGTACAGGTAATAGTATTGGATTCAGTATGGGGATTTTTATCTCAAAAATCCCCATACTTTTATTTGCTTCTATTAAAGCACTGTTTACGAAGCAGTGCTATGTTTTATCGACTCCCGCCGTTTAATTTTCCTCTTTGCATTTCTCTTTGAAGGTTTTCCTCGGGCCAGCGTTGGAACTTTGATGTGTTGAGCCATAGCGTCGGAGAGTCAGAGGGGATTAAGGTAGCAACCTTGGAGATCATTTACAACAACGATTGCCTATTATTGTTCAATGTTATTGATCTAAGTTAAATGATATTTGCCATAACAAAACGTAAGAAGTATGAGGTTTATTAAACTTCTATTAATGCTCAACATCTTCTAGTAACGACGTAAAGAAAACTACGTTATTTTATCTGGTCTTGCCAACCCTTACTTATTCAGACAACATGCACCGCAACAACATATTTTCATCGTTAAATTTGCAAATACGAATAGTTACGGTGGATAAAAACAACTAGAATTTGTGCTAAAGTCATTGTAGCCTGAATTGCTCCAGAAATCGACTAAACAAGATACATAATTCTGGGTTTAGAAAGCATGAGGCATCTGAATTCGGTGCAAATATCTTGATAAAATTTTTTGGAAATCTTACCTAAAGATCTTGCGTAGAGAAATTTGTAACAAAAAGTCTGATGATTGACTGCGTCGAAAAATTTCTGTTTATCATCAATGCCACGTGATGTCTACGCTATACAAAACATCAAGTAGTTTCATTTTGATTCTGTGTTTGAGTATAATTATCAATGTCAGGCTAGAAGACGAGCTTTCTAGAGTCAATTTGCTCAACGTCTAGCCCTACCATTTCATTTAAATACTAGGACTAGTAATGCTGGAGAATCTTTCACTTGACTTATAAGAATAATGATGGCTGACAGTAATTTTTGACAGTAACATTAATTGCTTTACCAGCCCTTAAATTCAGTCAAATGGTGATTTATTTTTTTTGTAGGATGCCTCAGCTAGTATATCAGGTGACAATGTGTTTGGGTCACTAAAAGTAAGTGTTGTATAGTATGTCAGCAGCTTGTTTCTTTATTTCCCTGCTTTCATTTTACCAGATTGTGAAGAAGTGCATAATGCTCTAGGAGTGGTTGGGTTTTATACCCGGGAAATTCAAAATGCAATTACGAACTTAATCATTTGATGGTGTGGTTTACGAAAAGGAATTTACCCCTATATATGCCCTGCTATATTTTGAAAACCGGTTTCATTTGGAAGTTAGACATTTGAAGGGAAACCCTGCATTAAGTCTGATGATAAATCACTCTGTAGGCCATTCAGAGAAATCTTTATTGAAAGTAACATGATAGCTTTTTATTATGTTTTGATCAAGTATGTTAGTTTTGTTTTGTTTTTTTTGCAGTTCGAAATTGGGGTGCATCGCGTGCAAAGAATCCCAGTTACAGAATCTCAGGGTCGAGTTCACACATCAACAATAACTGTAGCTGTTTTACCACAGCCGAGCGAAGTAACTGCTATTTTTTGAATCTTATTTTCTTGAAGATGGTTTCGTTACTAATAGTCTTTAGGCATTCTGAATTGCCAAGAAAGTGCTGTCCCTTGCACGAATAACATCTTATTCGTCGTTGCTGCATATACTCTTGTGTAAGGTTTTCTTCTCTTTTATGTATTACCTTTTGCAACATGCTCGCGGGACATGGTATTTAACTCTGTTCTCTAAATCCTGAGTAGCACCTTCTACATACCCTGCTCCACATTTGCGCATCATCTTTTTGAATAGATTGCAGCATGATTTAAGCTTGTGACCATACTGCAGGAAATCAATTTCTATGACTTTTTTTACTTGGTCTTCAAATTTTTTACTTGATCCAAGGAGTTTTTAGATAACTTCCTCCCCATAGAGAAATCAGAAGTTTGGTATGTAAAGTAGGCGGAAATATTTCTTTAAATCTTCTGATATATAGAACCCAGCTTAGTTTTTTATTAAATAATTATTTCCATGTGTAACAAAGTTTAATAAGAATAATTTTTTTTGGACTGAAGGAATTTTACCGATATATATTTCCACTCTCCTTTAATTCACTGTCTGATGTTTCATACTATACTGTACATCAATTATCGATCGTTTCATCGCACGATGAGTGCCATTCTTTGCTGCTAAAATGTTAACGCTTTTCTAAATCTTGGAATTCATTATGTTTTTGTCTATAAGCTTACAGTAAGTCATTTATTCAGGGTACTCAAAGCTGAATCAGTAAGATCAAGATAAAAAAGAACCTTATTTTATCTTGTTGAGAAACACAACTTTATTTTTACTATTAACTGTTAATCTCGTCTATTTTTCCTTTTTTTATTAAAATCATCTTATTGTCTTTTTCATTGATTGCCTGAATTACATAGCCCCCAGCCCCCTTCCCTGCTTAATTTCCAACTTAGGATCAGAAGATATACTTATTGGAGGTTATTTTTGAATGCTCCGATAATAGCTGTCAAATAAATGTTCCTTATATTTGACCTTCTAGATCGATATTACTGTGAACCAATCAGACCTCAGGATTGAGACATTTCGATCGTCCGGGTAATTTTATTTTGTTCATATCATTTTTCAGATTTGAATACATTCTTTGAAGCATTATCTTAGACTGATGTAATTTCCTATTGAAATCATTTTGAATTTAACGGCAGTCCTGTTTTCCGTTTTGCTGACCTAAGCTCACGTTGCAGATCCCCCGCATAAACATTCCTTTGATTCATCCGATTCATCCGAGATATTTTTAACTCGTGCCCTTGCTCTCTAATTGATTTATTCTGGTTTTTACCCGTATTGGCAGCAGTTTAGCCATTTTAGATATAAATCTACTAAAAATTGTTTGATACTGAAATAGGTACGCAAAATCGATATCAATATGTTTAACTCATGCCCTTGCTCTCTAATTGATTTATTCTGGTTTTTAGCCGTATTGGCAGCAGTTTAGCCTTTCTAGATATAAATCTACTACAAAATTGTTTGATACTGAAATAGAAACGCAAAATAACGTGAAGCAAAATGTTAAAACTATGTGGCAATGATCGAAATTGGGTGATCTGATTTTGAAGCGTCTGTCTGCATTGTACATCCATCTGCTGTTGTTGGCCTTGTGGTTATATCACAATGTTTAAAACCCAAGGTAAAACGTTTCTTGTCCATTGTAGCCCCGGCGGTCAGCACGTGAACAAAACGGACAGTGCTGTCCGAGTAATTCATATTCCTAGCGGATTGACTGTATCATGCCAGGAAGATCGGTCGCAGATAAAGGTAAAAACATTATTATATCTTTGCTTTGCATCTAACCTCATTAGAGGGCAAAATATTATTAAAATTTGCACCATAAATATCACGAATTAATAAATATCATAAATATCACGCTTTTCTCTCCAATTTTCCCTTTCTTTCTTCCCTTTCCTTCAAGTTATCTTAAGTTATTTCACCCCCTTCTATTATTTTCTTCTACTTCACTTTTTTCGTCCATTTGACTTGACCTTTTACTCTTTTACCTTTCTTTATCTCTTCTTTCTCTATTTTTTTCCAAATTTCCTTGTTCTTATAGATTTGCCACAAATTTTTCGACAAGTTATTAAATGCACACGCGCGATTAACTACTGCATTACTAGTGTAATTCATTTTTCTGCATTCCCTACCCAAGATCTTGACTTCTTGGTGTACCCTTGTCAAAATAAAGAGTTTAATGTTTTCCTTGTGAGACCCAATGTTAAGGAGCAGTAAAATTTGTCAAGGAACGTTTGCCTTTGTTCGTGGTGGCTTATTTTTCCTTCCTAGTGTACCAGTCTAAAAGTCTTGAGGTTTTCAACTCTTGCGCAGTTTTCCCGCGATACTGTGTTATCAATACTGATAAAATATGCAATCGATTGTCAAGTTATAGTAATTGCTTATTTATTTCGCATTGGACCATTGTTTAAATGATACAGTGTGTTGCCAATAATATAAATCTAGATTTCGCTCTGCAAATTTTCATTGGAAATGTTATCACCATAGTCATAGAGCAGTATATCCCAGACTGCACTGGGCTCAGCTGTTCCGATCCCCCCCAAACAATTTCATGTTTACTATTAGAAGTAATTTCTTAGAGTAAAAGTTATGTAGCACATTGATATTCAAAAGATAGCTAATTGATAAACGTATAATATAACAATGATAGCTAGTTATCACATCAGTGCTCCATGGGCTTTGACACAGGTTAACATCCATATTTAATTTAACATAAGATTTTGATAAAGCTCTTTTGTTTTGCAAAGAGGGCAGGGGCATGGTCCCCCGCTCCCTTCCTTCGTCAGAGGTCCTGTGTTGCTAGATGACATGAAAAAGAAGACATGCTGTGTTACTTTTATTGTACAAAATGCTTTTGTATTATTTGATATGATAGAAAGGAAGTAAAAGCAAGACAATTGAAAGAAAGTTCGGAGTCATTTAATAATTACAAGCCAAGAAATCTTTCAGTCAAGGGCGTTTCCTCTCCATATTTTCTTTATCTCCTTAAGTTAATTTTTCTGTTTGTTCTTACTTTCCTTTTTTTTGCCCGTCTCTAACCGCAATGTCAGTTTGACTGGTTCTTACTGTTTTGTTCGTAACACGTGCCCCAAACATATAATACTACCTATAACTTGCCCACTGTCCACTGTGACATAAACATGAATTTCATCAGATTTCTTAATTTCTATATAGTATTTGAATTAGATTACCAGTACTCTCACTTCCATTCTGCTAACTTGATTTTAAAAGTATTCTTACCCACATTAATTTTACTTCTTAATATAACATGTCTCCTTTTATTACAAAGCACTCCAGGAACAGTCCCAAGTACACCCTTTCTTCACTCATTCTTTGTTTCACTGCAATTTCTTTGTACCCTATTTTGGTCAAATTCAACATTCTCAAAGTTTACTGATCGTAGGGAACAGCCTGATTTTGGGTGCTAACCATATACATGGTAGAATTATGTCATAGAATTACCTACAATGCTTGCCAAAAGTCTTGGTATACTGTTTTCAAAGGAAAATCCAGACATTCCCCTTCCCCTTTTGAACAATGTTGGTTTGCTAAAAACGATTTAGGAGATTAGGAAGAACGCTTTTTCGGCGACTTTTATGATATTTTTCTAAATCATCGACATTGTTAAGAGGGGATAGGCGCGGAAACCTGAAAAAAGAATTGAAAAATAAAGAAGCACAACGCAAATTGCTGGGTGTTCCAAGCACTTTTGACAATGCTTGCAGTACAAAGGATAATGTGGTAGCCCCTGCAACACACCCCAATTTACGTTGCTGTCTTAGAATACCTACTATTTCATTTCAGAACAAGTTACAAGCTATTACTCTTTTGCGAACGAAGCTCTATGACATCGAAAGACAGAAGGCTGATAAACTTAGAAAAGAAACACGAAAGTTGCAGATTGGCAGCGGAGATAGATCCGAACGGATTCGGACTTATAATTTCCTTCAAGACAGGATAACTGATCACAGAGTGGGCGTGTCCCTGCATGGCGTTCAGGAATTTTTACAAGGTGGCGAAAAACTACTGAGCCTGATCGAAGAGTTAAGGACTACGGAAAAAGTTTTAGCATTTAATAAACTAGTTAATCTAGCTAAGAATATATAATTTTTCAATTGATGTGATTTAAGCTTTGTTAATTCAACAATTAGCTGTTTTCTGCATTCAAATTTTATTTGAAATGTTTGATGTGAAGTTTGGAAAGAGAGTGCTCCATGTATCTGTGCACAAAATTATAATTCCCCAATGGTTCCGTCTACTTTATTCAAAGTTTAACAAAGATACAATTGGACCTTATTTCGCATGCTTTCTTGAAGCGAAGCGAAATCTTTCAGACCATTATTACTGATAAAACTTAGGACACATGCTTTTTAGGGTGAAAGTCCTGCGTCATAGACTGGGGACGAGTAACGTCATCATGACTTTCCTGGTTTTTGTCATTTGGATTTTGTGATTGAAGGATTATTTCTTAAATAAATATGACTGTGTTTTAGGCCTTAAGATGTTTGTTATTTAGAATTTCCAAATATTCCTTTGTTTATATCCCTGTTTTCTTACATTTCCAAGAATTTCTGAGCAATGTTTTATTGTAATCTGCTGGATTGGTTGTTCTGCTTCCATTAACACACTTGGTGAATATAAAGAACATTTGATAATACCTGAAAAGCAAGGCCTACGGCACCGGAAGGCCGGGGTGGCCATGGCCCTCTCCCCACTTGTTTGCGAAGCAAGTAGTGTTAGAGCTGCAGTGAAAGGGGAAAGAAGCTTTGGCCCCCTTCTTTTGCTGGCCTTGCCCCCCCCCCACTTTCAAATTCGTGACGTGGGCCCTGAAAAGTCTTTTCCTCTGTATGGTTATTAAGTTTTGCCTAGTCATAAAGTTCATTCTTAACTAGTTTTATTAAAACTGTTTGGCATCCTACCAAGATCATGGTTTTCCTCAAGAAAGCTTTGTAATTTCTAACGTTCACGAATTGTCGAAGATACCAAACTATTGAAGTTTCCTCCTGTAAAATTTTTACCTACCCTGGGTACCAGACTCAGTAAATTTTACCTCGATAACAAATTTAATTCTTCCCTAAGAAACCGATTTCTGGCAGACTGCTAATTTGTTTCTTACAGTTTAGTTTTGGGTTTTTAATATTGTCAATACGTTTTTTCATTGAAACGAGATTTTAAATTTATTTTGCCAAGAGTATTTGGGACACATGAGGACCTACCTACATTTTTATCGGAAAATAACAGGGGCAGCCGCGTGTCATTCTTCTAAGCTCGAGTCAGAGACAAAAGACCACAATGTTCTTCTTAGCGTCATATCTTGAAAAAACCAAAAGGTCAACATAGCATGCTCATATTGAACGGTTTGAGGAACAGTAAACTGAAGCACATGTTTGGCCTTTTATTTGTGCCATGTTTATATCATGCCTGACTTCCTCTCGGACCACAAAGCATTTGCTCCATTGTCTCTGCGCCTCTCGTGTGTTTCTTGCTATTGTTTCCATGATTGGTCATAAAATAAAAGACCAGGCTCTCCGAAACTGCCACTCCTTCGCGGTGATCGGGGGCAGCGAGAGAAGCCGTTGCAATGTCATCGCTTAAAGTTTTAGAAATCGAGGGAAAGTCTCTTCCAAATCTCGAAAAGAGAGGAAAAAGTGATCCATTTGTTGAAGTCGAATATCTTGGTGAGCTTTCAATAAGCATTTTCAATTTTAATCCTTATTTTTCTATACCTTGACCCCATGGTCTAGAGCAAGAATTACGGGGTGATCCAGTGGGCCTAAGTTGTCATCCAGTGTGAAAATACATTATATTTGCCATTTTGGTCACCACTCGGGTAACTTAGTATTTATTTGATAGAATAGTGATACAGGGGCTAATAAGCACCTATCTCATTTATTATTTATGAGTTCCAAAATCCTGATTTTGAAGTTTGCGACCTTGTTGAAAACACCACCCGTCGGTTTGGTGAATATCATCTACTCCTTTATTAAACGTACATGAAAGTACTTAACCTGATCTGTGTTTTAGATTAGAGAATTTCTTCTCTTACAAATTTGACTTCTTGTTGATTTTAAATTGGAAGTATTTTAGGCCAAATAACGAATGCCTCACTTTAGGCCTAATTTATGTATACCCGTAATCACTAACCAAAAATTGGAGTAGACTATCTTAATTTGTGGTAAAATATTTTGTATCCAGAGTTGGCTTACCGAAAGAAGGGAAGGATGTTTGCATATTGTAGGTTACTGTAAGTCTGTTTTATAGCTAATGTTGATTTCTGCCACGCCTTTCTCCTCGAAACACTGTTAAAGCCTGGAAAAAGCCCTTCGAATTGCCAGGAAGCTATCAAATATCACGTGCACCATTCTTGCATGTTTTGGAGGACATTTGCCGAAAGTAACATTTTTCTATGCAGTTGGAAAAAGTTGAAATTCCTAATTTCTTGTAGAAATACTTTAATTTTTTAACATTCTTTACATTTCACGGGAACGTTTCCAGGCCAACAATCATAAATATGAATGAGCGACTTTCGTGCGGCCAAGTTCCTTCAAGGAAGTTGTGGCTTGTAATTCTCGCGAAATCATTTAAAATTTGGCTTACCGTTATGTGAAGTTTATTTTCGGTTTATTATCCAAGCCACCATGTTACTGACTTGCTGGCGTTCCAGGTCTATGTCTTAAGGTAAATGAAGTATGTTTATCTTTAATGCTCAAGTATGAAAAATATTTGAATACCAAGGATTGAAACCCCCAGTAATAAGTTTTCATCAGTCTTACACCATCATAAGCACCACCATCACTCACTTTTCCTTACCGTAAATCCTCGAATTAGCCCCCTGGGGGCTTATTTATTTTTGATATTTTTGGATGGGGGCTTATACAAGAGGGGGGGGGGGGGCTTATAAAATTATTGTAGACATTAAGAAGACATTATCAGAAAATCCCGTTTATTTAAGTAGGAATTTTTTTTATGAGCATTTAATCAATTACTACCAAAAGTATGAATTTGTTGTGGTAATTCAATAAAACGCCATGGGCAACCTCAAATGGAAAAATTCATAAAATGGAGGGGTCCAATTCAAGAATTTACAGTAGCAGTGGGGGCTTATTTGAGGGGGGGCTTATTGACAATTTGTAGTTCTAGGGTGGGGCTAATTCAAGGGGAGCCCTTTCAGGGGGGGGGGGGCAGTTCGAGGAATTACAGTATGTCAAGATGCTTCCTCTTTCAAATGGTTTCTTTCGCAAAAGATCCTCAAACCACTGCAATGTTTGTCATTAGCCCCAGACTAACAATGAAGTTTCTTTCTATCAACCAGTTTCATGCTGCAAATTTAATCATGATGCCTTTTCTGCTGCTTTACTGTCTACTGTAAATTCTCTTTTAAACCCCCCTCTCAATAAACCCCCCTCTCAATCAAGCCCCCTCTCTTGATGAGGATGACAAATTCAAGCGGTTAACAATGTAAAAGCCTGATTTGATTTTTTTATTTTGCAAGTAACAAAAACTTAGTCTACCACTGAAAATGATTTTATATTCTAAAATATTAATTGAGCCCTATCTTTCAATTTAGCCCTCTCTCTTACAAACCCTCCCTTAAGGTGCTGAAAACAATTAAGCCCCCCCCTCCCGCCCCCCCCCCCCCCCGACCCCCAACCCCCCCCGCCCGATTGGTCTTAAAAGAGAATTTACAGTATTTTATGAACCGGAATGTCATCCTATGCAAAAACTTGGCTTTGTTTAATGAAATTTCATCAAACAACTTACAGCTGTTCTCTTTGCAACTGCAATTTCATGTCCACCTCTTTAGAACCTAAACTTCAGCTTTTGACTTATTTTTTCTCTCATGAGTTTTTTGGCCCAGCAAATTAATTTATAGAAAAGGCAAAACCTGGGTAGGCATAATTCAGTTTACAAGGTGACTTTTCATGATTTCTTGACTGGTTCCATCTTCTTTCTTTATTTGGTGTTAATTATTTTTAATTTATTTAATTTATATTCATTTAGAATTAATTGTGCTGGGATTACGTCAGATATGAATTACAGGCAGGGGAAAGCTACTTTTTCTTGCAGTGCACCAAATGCTAATGACAAGTGTTCTCAAAACGATGAAAACAAAAAGAAACAGGCTTATAATAAACAAATCATAGAAATTGAACATGTGTTATTTACAATGATCATGTTTGGAAACAATGAAGCAATGGTGAAGGAGACCCTTATCACTCATAGGAAACTTGCACACAAATTAGCAGAAAAATAGCAAAAAATACTTTTATGTTTGAGAAAGGAAGAATGCAGCTTGAATAAAAGATAAAATAAGTTCACTCTACACCCATAATTGATCTGGTTATCACAAAAACCACAGAGCATACTACAGATTGAGTGGGTCAAAGCATTTTTTTGGGGGGGGGGGCTAAACATGCCAAAACGCAAGAACAAGGCAACTCCCTGTATGGCTTTATGTACATTTTGGGAATTATTGGGTGGCTAAAGTCTACTCAACCCCCCTTCCTCCTGCTCCCACAGTCTTTGGTTATCAATATAACATAAATAATCTGCCTTCTCAATGTATCTCTATATGCATGCGAAGACCTGTGAAGTCTATCAACTGGTGATGAAGACTGCAACCAGGTGTAATCTCCAACTTCACTGTATGGCCATTAACAAAATGAATTCTTGCGTGAATTTTTAATGCCATTTACCAGGTGAATTTTCAACAAACCATTCTTCTGCTATTATAATTATTGACATTTAGATTCAGGAGATATTACTTAAAATACAAGATTAACGAGGCCTGAAAAAAGTCATTCAGTTTGGAGAGTTGTGCAACTGATAAACTTAAAGTCATTAAATGATCAACTTGACTACAGACATGATTTCATGCTTAGGCCCAATGACTTTGCTGTTGATAGATGCATAATTATCTGAGTTATGTAAATGCTAGTCTTGAGCATCCAGATCCACTTGTAGTGGTATTTTTCTATTCTAATTAAGGAATCTTGCTAGGACAAACTACAAAGGCAACAAAACTGCACACTGTATTTTCCTGAAAGTCCCTATAAACATTCTGCATATCTGTCAATTAATTACATTCTTCATACTCATTCTTTAATTGCACATTTAATGTTGTCCCTTTGAATTAGTGAATTCTCCGAATAATCACCACTTCAGAGAATGCCGCAGAAATTTACTGTTTTGTTTATAAATGTTACTGTACACATACGCAGATTTTTCTCGTTTGTTTTGATAATCGCACCAATCTAGTTTTGTGTTGGTTACTAACTGTTTTCCACTGAACACAAACGATCACGTTGCAGCAATGTTCGCAACGGCTTCACGATGCTTCGTTTACGATTTCCCTTCAACAGTATTAGGTTAAATTCGCACTGACTGTTCTTTTTGCGAAAACCCGATGCATAATTTATGACTTTAGAAATCATCTTCTGTGTAATCTTCTCAATTTCGTCGGTCTTTGTTTCAAGCACAAATCATTGCAGGTAATATATTTGTCATGATGATTTTTTAGCTAGGCAAATATGCTTTGCATTAGCGAGAGACTTCCTGACTTCGTTTTATCATTCATTTGTATTAAGATGTGTTCTATCTAGCAGTAGAACAGCAGTTACGATAACCACATTATCTGGCTCGTTTGTCAGCTGAACATTGGCAAGTGACCAGTAAGATATCATCAATCGTATACCAAGGCGTGATTGGGCACTCTTATAACGTGTGCATTTACACATTTTTTCATCTTCATCGGTTATGCCTTGGTAACTCGCAATACAGAAGTTCTTTTTAGCATGAGCAACGTAGAAGGAGTACTTGTTTAGGTGCATGATTCCGTTATCAAACGCATTAGAAGCGCCACGATTAACCATGTTCAATGAACAGAAGAGTTTGCCGATGTATTTTCGATAGAAATGGAAAGTGGGGACGGATTAACCAAAGCAGAATATAAGGACTGGCGTACGGGGATACTGCGCGTTCGTAACATCGTTGCTCATGATCTTCCAAATATTGAATTATTCGGTCGCATCGACCCATTCATCGAGTTCACTTACTTAGGTTCGTATGTCTTGTTACATATCATTTTCGTCATTTATCGTCGAAGCAGAAAGATCTAGGATTGAGGATTTGCTTTTAGAGGTCAAGAACTTTCCTTGCTAATTAACAGATAACTCTTATCAATTTTACACATTTTAAATCGTTTGAATGAATTAGTGAGTACCAACGCTTTCACTCAGAATTTTTATTTCAAGAAGGCTTTTTAGTTTTATTAAACCGCTATTCAAAATATCCAGTCACTAATGTTTACGTCCATCAAACAATTTGATCGTGTATACGGTCATCAGTTTACTTGGTAAATAGAATTGATTTCTCCGATTATTGATTAAATGCTCAATAATGGCTTGCGAACTATTGGGAAGCGCAGAGGAAAGCGAACTATTGGGAGATTACTGACTTAAGCTTTTGAGGAGAAAAATATATGGCTTTTTGTAATTCGCATATTAACATGGTCCGAATTTTTGTAGCCTCCTAAAGCGTAATTAAGAATAAAAGTTTCTCTGTTTAAGTAAAATCGTGGTGGGTTTCTTATCAATTTGGCTTCATCGTGCGTGGCTATTTCAATGACAGTGTTTATTTTTTTAACTGAAATGATATCCTTTTGCTCGGTCTGGTCAGGTAAGATTTCGTTAACGATTTTGTTTTCACCTGTCTTTTTTGCCACGCTCCGCGTATCTAGTGTTTTCATTTCACCAAAATGGATGAGTCATGTTGCCAAATCGATAGAATTAAGTGTAATTATGTTCCGAGTTGTGCCAATGATTTGGATTTCAATTGATGTTGAGTCAGTGCATTGTGTCACGCCAAATACACTTTCAAAGCAAAAGTAGTAGTCTGTTGTGGAATGATTTACACCCAACGAAGAAATCAAGAAAATTTTTCAACACCAACAAAATCTTTTAAACAGTACAGTATTCACTGTTATTGTTATTCCAGTTCCTGTTTACCATACTCCTTTTTGGAAATGAGTGCGAACCCATTAAATGGAACAATATTCGTTTCTTTCTAGGATCGACCAAGAAGACAGAGACAAAGGATGACACCCTTGATCCAACATATGGCGAGGTAATAACCGTTAGTTTTGTCATAAAGAGCTTGTTATTACCAAAGATCTCTCTCGTTCTATCATAGTAGAAGGACCCCAATCATTTGCTACATCTAAGCAATTGGGAATTAAGGCTACTTAAAACCTACGTCTTCTCGGTAGTAGGATATGGAAGCGAAGCATGGACATACAGCAAAGTAATGAAAGAAAAACTTCATGCTTTTGAAATGTGGTGCTACAGGAGAATTCTGAAAATGAGCTGGACTGAAAGAGTAACCAACAAAAAAGTGTTAGAAACAATTGGACATCAGAGAGTTTTAGTAAACCAAATGATAAAAAGAAAAATTAGGTTTGCTGGTCACGTTATGAGGGGATCATCCGGGTTCTTGACAAGGCTTGTTTTGGAAGTTATGATTGACGGATAAAAGACAGGGGAAGACAAAGAAGAACATGGGGAGACGATGTCAAGGAATGAAGCGGGTGTGAGAGCATTGTGAGAGCTAAAAGATATTCTGAGGATAGGGATAGTTGGAGGGTCATGGTACCTTCCGATAGAAGATGGTACCCGATGATGATGATGATGAAGCGCCATAAACATGCATTCCCATGTTCAAGCTGCTAGACGGTCAAGCTGCAATTTACAAGATTCAGCGTTATATGAATTTGCTTACTCACTGATTTTTTTTTAAAATTGCAGGTTTTCGAATGGGATTTGCAGGGACGGCCTCTGGGTCCTGAAGACTGTATAAATGTGACAGTGAAGGATTATGAGCGCATTGGCAGAAACAGGTGATTTGTCATTCTTTGCTTGCACGTCTAGTCATTCTATGGAAATCCAAATAAGCTAACTAAAGTATTGATTGCCTTTGTCGATGTATTGTCTACGAGTTTTGTTTAAAGTTAAAATTCATATGTTTTCATATTTTTGTTGTTTGATAAAAATGACTTTCTTTATCGAATTGTTCATAACCGACCCCGTTTACACTGTCCCGTGCAAGTTTGGAACCGTGACAAAACTGTCGCGGTTCGCCCTTCCGTTTACACTAGCACTGTGGAACCGTGACGATTTTGCTCTGCTATCCGGAACAGTTTGGACCCTGCTTTGAAAGCGAACGAATTTTGTACCGTCACGGTTCCGTTTTTGAACGGGACAGTGTAAACACCTATCCGAGACGATTTTGTCACGGATTCACAAAGAGGTCTTTTGTATGGCTGTTTAAGGTAATCGAGGCTTTGATTGTGGCGTAACTACGTTGTCAAATTCTGAAGAAAAGGAAATTCTGGAGAAAAGACGACCACAGAAAAGGCTTGTTTTGTTTCCCAGTCCAAGCCTTGATTGGACTTTGCAGCTTTTTAGCCTAAAATAACACTGAAAATTAAAGCCACCTCGTCGTTCGTCCAAGTAAAGTTTTTATCGGCCTTCCACTCCATTTTAGCTCTCAATGAAATTTCGATTGTTGACTTCGGCGGCAAAATAAAAGCCTTGGTTGACTAAATACAGCTTGTTCTAAACAATGTTCTGCCATTAAAATAAGGTTGTACCGGTACAGTGTAAACGGAACGGCTAAACGAAACAATTTGGAACCGCGACAGTGTAAACACTTGCGAACCGTAACGGTACAAAATTGTCCCGGGACAGTGTAAACGGGGTCTCACTATTCGTTTACCAGATATCTAAGATTTCCGAGGGGCAAATCACTGAAAAAATCTCGTACACTGTTTTGGAAGTGATTTACCCCTCGAAGATTTGAACCTCGTTTCCTTTGTGGATTAATTTATGATTGTTTTGTTGTGACAGGCTTATTGGTACTGCGACCATTTCCCTGCGTGATATTACGAGACAAGGAAACAACTCGAAGCAAGTGAATGTTACCCTTGTTGATGGCCAAAAACGTGCAACATCGGTACGTTGCTTTTTTATCTTTATATATTGATATTCTTGTAAAACCGATGGATGTCGTCCTTGAAAAGAAAATTTTTCTATATCATTCTCAATGTGTAGAAAGTTTTATGAGGGCGTTTGCTGAATTTTTCGTTTAAATAATGTTTCAGCCAGATAAAAGTGTGTTTTGGTTTCGTTGGAAATTCCTTGGCGCAAGAAGGTTTGTGAGCCCAAATTATTAGTCTCCTCGGCCGTTATCAACTAAAGTTTTGCTTGCATCTTAGGGCAAAATTTCCATGCGCATCGATTACAACCCTCCAAAGGATGCTGCAGAAAAGCAAACAGGGGGTGCAGATGACAGGCAGCAAAGTGAAATGGGAGGCGAAGAAGGAGGAGAAGAGGGTGTCGAAGGAGAAGAGGGAGAAGGAGCAGCTGAGGGTGAAGCTGAAGCCACTGGAGGGGCTGCAGGAGGCCCTGCAAAGAAACGGAGGTGAGTAACTTAGTAACTGCTTTGGTCATTGACAGAGATCCAGGCAAGATTTACCCAAAACAGTGTTTAGTTTACTTACAATTATCTAAGAGAACTGGTATTTGTGACGTTTTCATTTTCTGAATCATTTACCTTTCAGGAAAAAGAGAAGGCGCGGAAGACAGCACAATCTGCCAGACAAGCCTACTGATTTTCAGGTTCATATTTTCGAATTTTTGTAAGATTGCTTTTTACTGTTTTGGGATAACCTAATTACTGTTCTGTAAGATAGCCTAATCACTACAATAATATGCATAAGATTGATGCCAGAAATTAATGGCGAACAAAACTAGCAAGCGAAAAAGGTTATTTTAAAGAAAAAAGACCATGAAAAGATCATGAAGCGAACGTATAGCTTGTGTATGAGATTTCGTGAGAGGCAAAAAATAACTTTGTGATTCTGATTTCTGTTTGAAACGTTTTGCCAAGAACAAAATGGTATTGTGGGACTATATTTTGGACCAACTCCAATAGAGTTTAACTTTGGACCAATGTTTTTTGCAGGTTCGAATTAAAGTTATTGAGGGAAGACAGCTCGCTGGTGCAAACATTCACCCTGTCGTGAAAGTCACCCTGGGAAAAGAGTCAAAGCAGACAAGAGTGAAAAGTGCCACTAATAGGCCGCATTTTGATGAGGTAATTCATGTAGATGCTATGCAGAATTTCCTCTTCTGAAATCGATAAGAAGGATGCCTTTAGCTCTCGGCAGAGTCGAGGAAAATGTTAAACCCTTCTTTGTCAAAACTTTCATAATGTTTTTAAAACAACATTGGAGACAGTGTGTGGGTTTGGTTAACGTTCTGACGTTACTCGCAGTCTTTGGGCGTACGGTTCCCAGTGTTTTCAGGACTCTAATTCGTTTTAAGTTGCTCGTTGTTTGACAAACCTTCTATATATCAATATCTTCGGTGATTTTCCTATAGCCGTCCATGGTTCTAAATTATATATGTTTAGTATCTATTTCGATTTAATCGTGGTATTTTTCTTCTTTCAGTCATTTTTCTTCAATTTCAACATGAGACCCAATGAGCTGTTCGACCAAATGATAAACTTTGAGGTTAGACAACCTTGGTATATTTTTTATGGCATCGATTCTCATTCATTTCAGGCTATTACTATAATTGAATCAAAACTATTTGATTGTTGTGGTAATATTCGAAACGAAGGCGTTGAAATGTAATACCAAATGCATGCAATGAAATGCATTGAAAGCAACCGCGCTTTAGAAAAAGCAATTAATATTGAAATGAGAATGCAGATTTTTGCATTAGGATCACAAATTTAATTTCATTTTGAACTAAGTATTGTTAATTTAATTACCCATAGAGCTTTTTTTGACTATCCATGAAATCTAGACATGGTATCAACCCAATGCTTTGATGGTGTCGATGTTTTACTACCCAGGTGCTGAATTCCAGAAAGCTCCTTTCTGATGCCATCATCGGAACATTCCAGGTAATTCCGTTAAGAAATATGTTCCAAGCAGCTTGTGTTATAAATATTTAGGTGTTTGATTGTATAAATGTCAATAAAAATTGGTCGATATTTTATAGTAGCAAATGCAAACCATTTATTTGAAATATTCTAGAACCATAAACGGCTGCAGTCTCTAAGATATATATATATTCTATGCTATTATTAATTATTTGGGTAAAAAATATTGTGAGTTTGATAGTTTGTAAGATTTTAAGAGAAGTATGCTGTTAAAATGAAGTATCAATAACGAACAGGGTTTTTCGACTACTTTTTATCAAATTTTTCAAATTTCAGTGCGATGTTGGGCTTGTTTACGACGAAGATAGTAAGTATTTTTGCAATATCATGCCATTATCATTTTTGCAAATATTTGTAATGAGTTAAAATTTAATAAATGTTAATCAGTAATGTTTTGGCGGTACAGAAATTAAAAATGGCTTCCAAAAATGCAAACATACTTGTAACATACTTATGTTTTTCGTCCAACACGCTTCAAGAGTGGAAAATGTCAGAATTTTGATCGAAAACTTTTTAAATGGGTTTATAATGGGTTTGTCTTTTTACACTTTCAAAAGGTGTGTTGAAAATGTCATTCGTACCACTGCAATGTCACAGTGATGTTTTCAGTTGTTCTTCATCGCTATAACTGCTTGCTAGGCCTGTTCGTAATGCAATGTTTTTGTTAAGGTCATGCCCTGGTAAGAAAATGGATTCTTCTCACGGCTCCTGAGGACAAAATGGGTGGTACAAAGGTAATTCTTGTTTAAAATCGTACAGTAGTTTTGTGCTGTTATTTGCAAAGACTTATCGAGTTTCAGTGTTGCATATTTGCTTTTATTGTTTCACCATAAAGGTCCCTACTCTCAATATCTCCAAGAAAGTCTCCAATCATTTGTTTCTGCCATGTTATGGCAACAAGTTTGTTTTTATTTTTTTACGCAACCATGTGGTATTTGTATCCGTTTAAATTTTTGTCGTTATGGTTTTGGCTTATGGTTGACTTCGGCAGGAGGAAGAAGGCGACGCAAAATCTAAGTCAAGAAGCTCAGATGGCAAGCAAGGCGGGGAACCAGCTGTAAATATTTTGTTTTCTAGTTTTTCTATAGCAGTTTGGTGAAAGCCAGAACTGAAGACAACCAATAAACGGTTTTAAATGGATGCTAAATGGCTAAACAACCGCGGTTGGCCGTGGAGAGATAAATTGATAAATGAAAACTTATGGTAAAGAGAAATGGAGAGTCGTTACATTTTAAAGTTGTGGTAAACATTGGCGTGAATCGTATCAGGACATAAACTCAAAAATTGGAATGTACGATAAAGGTTTTGCGAGAGAAATAAAATCAATCTAAAATCTTTAACGATTGATTCGGCAAAATTAAAAGCACGCCTTAATGAGACACTGATTTTGATACTTACCCTAAAAGAAAAATTATGAGATGAGATTGTTTCTAATTGAGACACGCTGTAATCCTTGGCTTCCCTCGGTTAGGGTCATTTCTCGAGACGATACCGAAGGAACTTAAACCTTTGATGGAACTACCAATTTTCTTGTTAATTCCCTGAAATATTTCCACTAAAAAGTCTATTAGATAAAGAAGCTTTAAATTGCATCTCTGCTCAAAGCTTTGTATAAATTGAAATTTTTTAATCTTCAAAACTTACATTAGACCTGGAATGGCTTAATTGGAATGGCCTGGAAGGCTCTATTTAACTATGATAATATATGAATTACGTATGTACCTATATATACTGGGTCAGCGTGTAATATAAAAGGCCTTAGCAGCATTTTATTAGTTTTAGTCATCCGATTTCGGATTAACTGTTAATTATCATTTAATTTTCATTTAAATTTGCTAAGTTTATAATCCTTAATATAATGGTAGTATTTTCGGTTTTCCCGGATGTGGCAGCTATAGAAATTGGCTAATAGATGCAGGTCGGACGCTACGGAGGCTTCCTGAGATGACACACCTGAATTATGTTTTAAAAGAGTTGGTCAATTAATTCACAATAGTTTTTTGTGGAAAATCTTCATTTCCTCTATATAATATTAATGATAAATTTACCTGTAGAGCAGTTTGGCCAAGAAAAATGAAACAACTTGTACTTAAAATGCTTTGTTTTTCAGTTAATATTTTGCGTTTCTGCTGTTAATATAGGCCATGATATTAAAGAGTTTGACCATAAATAAATGTTTTTATATTGAAGTTGCATTTAAACTTGTCTGATCAAAGGTACTCAGTTTAATTTTAAGTATTCCTTTTGAAGATATTACAGTAAAAGCGACTGTAGATCACTTTCATGGATTGCTTCAGCAGAAAAATCTAAATACTTCATGTTAAATTCCTGTAATTCCGCCAACACGAATTTAAGAAATTTATAATTTCTTTTAACGCTTGATATGATATCATGATGAATTTCGTCTATAAATTTGTTAATCAAAAGGCAGTTTATTCGACTCTTGATATTATTTACCTGTTAATATTCAGAATTAATTTTTATTTTAAAATATATTTGAATTTAGTGCAATAGTTGCTTTTGCAGAAATGTTTGATAAACTCAAGGGCTCTGTTATGGTATTTCTAGGGTCAATCGCTATTGCCACTTTTGCGTTAAAGTTCTTCTTTTAAGCCATATAATTATTCTGCTTTTAATTTGTTGATAAATTGATGTAAAATCGAAAAGTTTAAAGAACGTATGTTGTTTATTATTGAATTTAAGCAATTGAATTAAACATTGCCAGTGAATAAATCATTGTAAGTTTAACCGTATAGATTTTCACTCTGATTTTAGAAAATGTGACGTTTCTTGCTTCCATGATCCAAAGATAGCCCCCCCCCCCTTACATGAAACTGAACTAGCCAATCGGCAGTAAGTCTTGCCCCTTCAGACCAACGGCTCAACATAGTGTATCTGAAGGACTTTTATCTGTTTCTTGATACAGTAAATACGATTATTTGCATACATTCATCTGTGCTTAAATGGAATACAGATCTTCTATAAAATTTTACCTCCCACTGCCCTTTTCCGTTAATCAGTATGCAAGAAAACATTACCGTGGTCGCTCTAGAGAATGTCACACTTCATTGATATTTTGATAAAAACCTTTAATCTGAATGCCTTGAAACTAAATAGATTGAAAAAGCTTAATCTATAAAAAGTCACTGTAGACAATGTATGTATAAATTGATGACATGTATAAATTGATTTAAATTATGATTTAATTATTTTAAATTTTCTTAACGACCGACTGCTTTTTGTTATCACAATTTTGTATATCTTTTTAAAATTGATAGCTGTTTAGCTAGCTTGATAGCTTTTTAAATCTTATCAATTCGTTTTCAGTTTGCCTTTTAAAATGGCAATTTCATATTTGTTTTCCAATGCTGTGATTATTTTTCCCATTTATTGTAGTACATGTAAGAAAAACCCTTAAGCTATATTTATTCTAATACTTCCACTGTTTGTTACAGGGTTACTTGAAAATCACGGCTATTGTTCTAGGACCCGGAGACGAAATACCTGTAAGTTAGCTTGCTAATGCACCTGAATTTGTATTAGATATATTTGAAATATTGATTAAGATATTCATGCCTGGTCGTGTAAGTGCAGTGTTATGCGAATCCAGATTCTCTTCATACTGCACCGGATGCTGCCCCGACGCAAGTGTGCTGCTTAGGTGCTTAAGGTTCTCACTTGTGCTTCGTGAACTCATCATTCAAAGATGGCTACATCAAGGGGGCAAGCTTGCCCGAACGTACCCCCGGTAGTGTTTAATTTTTTCTGTTTTTACTGTCAATGATCTCCTTTTGTCATTCTCCTCTCCTCCAAAGTTCTACAGTTTTATTTTCTGTCTCCATGTTAAAGCATTTCGTTTTCTTCTCTAGGATTCCGTCAAGGCTGGTGGAAACGATGACTCTGAAGACATTGAAGGGTGCTCGATCTTCATTTTCTAGTTTAATGTCTCTATAGCTTTTTTAATTACAATTTCGTAAACTTATTTATCTCAAAAATCTTCGTGAAGCTGCGAAGTTCATAAAGATTGAAATGCTGAATTATGATTCATTATTTAAACCGTTTAAATAAGTCTGCCAGGCAAATCTCTGGTACAGAAAAAGGGATAAAGAGGGGGGGGGGGGAATAGTGTAAGCACTTTGGTATTTTGCGAAACTGAAAGCATGGTGCTGCAGCATTCTCATTCTACAGCCTCTTTGTTATTACTTTTGACACAGTGACCTCACAGCAAAGTTTCTTAATATAAATCGTATGAACTTCTTGATTTCAGTAAACAGAGTTTTTTCTGTCTTCTGCCAAATGAGTCTCTTATTGGCTTATTCTTGCTGAATTGCTCAGTCTGAGAATTTGTAACATGGGGAAACCTAGCTTAGAAATCTCCTAGATTTAATCGTTTCTGCCTGAAGATAAGAAATGTTTAAAAAACGAATATTTTCTAGATTTCTGTAAAAATGATGGGTGGCTTGATAATCTCATTTGAATTGTTTAATTTTATCTACCCTGATAGAAATCTTTTGAGACCTGCTGGTGTGACCATGAGGCCGGCAACATTCCTAGTGAAAGTGTACAGAGCAGAAGACATCCCACAAAGTATGAATTTGTATTTACGATTTTACTTCCATTGTTTTTTGAGATACCGAAATTTGCAATAATATTTTCAAGAAGCTTCATAAATTTAGGTTGTTTTTGAAAACTCCTTTGACCTTTTAATTTTGGTTTATTTTCAGTGGACACAGGCTTGTTTGAGGGAGTGAAAAAGATTTTCAAGTCAAGCGATGTATGTTTGTATAGAACACGTTGCGTGTTTTTTCTGTAATGCTACGTTTTCAGCCAACAGGCTTCGTTCTACAAAGTCTTAACAAAGGGCACGTCTAAAGAAGTCTTGTTATTAACTGCAATACGTATCCTCTAGCAGTAGCCATTAGCACTGGTGATCCATTGCCCCAGAAACAAATCCGTGGTGATTTCTTTAATGATCACTTATGTCTGCAATGTAACTGACTTTCTTTTTGGAGATGTCGATACTTGCCTTAGCGACATTTCAACAGCTAATTGTGAAATCAATTGATTGTGTAGTGTTTGCTTTTTTAAAGTATTAATGCGATGATTTTGCATTCGTCTAGGAACAAAAGGAGCTTGTTGACCCCTACGTCAAGTTTAGCTTTGCAGGTCAAAAGGTGAGACTCGTAATAAACTCTCATTCTTTGTTAGAACTAATTTTCATCAAATGTTGGATTTATGCTTTAAACGAATTATTGCTTCGACAATGTTTTGTGCGGCAATGAAATCATCCTCATTGAAATCATCAAAATTATCCAGGAACTTTCTTAGTTTTGATTGAGTTTGCAAGTTTCTTGTTTTTTAGAAAAAATCTCACGTTTTCTCTAAACAGTAATCGCTCTATAAGTAAAATCGTGTTTAGTAGGACATGTTTCATTAGGGTATATCTCAATACCTTTCAGGCAAAAACACAAGTATTTTACAACAATGATCATCCTGAATTCAACCAAGAATTGAGAGTTGCTTTCAAGGTATGTGATTACCACAAATGCTTTAGATAATCAACTTTTTAATGAGCTTTTTCATGCTTCTTATATGTTCAACCAGATTATATCACGGAGAATCTTCAATAAAAATAACGTTGCTAATTGTCTCTGATTTTTTGTTATCACAGTTTTTATAAGACTTTACCCCCCTAGTGTGCTAAATATATGGCTGTTGTGCTCTGTGGGTGGATTTCATTCACCATATCCGTTAATTCCCACTACAAGTCTTTTTGAAATCCATTTTGGTTGAAGATAATCTTTTATCCGAGAAACTACGTCAATTTAGCAATGTGTAGACACAGCTATTACAACGCTGTGATAAAAATTTCCTCTTTATTTACTCCAAGGAATCCAAAAATTAATGTCGTTTTATCAACTGAATCGCTTTGGCGTCTATATTTATTTTTGTGAGAATCATTTTTTCAATTTTTCCTAGTTTCCATCTATGTGCGAGAGGCTGAAACTGCAAATGTTTGATTGGTAATATTTAATTTGCAAATTTAATTTTTGAATCAGGGTAGCTCGTTTATTAGTTTGTATCTGTTTTTGGTATCAATGCTAAAACCAAAAAGACCCTTGCTCATGATGAAGGTCTGAAATTCATATTATGCTAGGACTTAACCAGATTCTTGTCTTGTTTTGAATAGAAATGGTCCATGATAATGATATCTTGTTCATTCTGTCACTTTGTTAATTTGTGGTCTTTATATCCTTTTACCATGGTATCCTGTAAGTGACTGAAAAATTTTGAAAATGACGAGACCTCTATGAAAATAGTGGCAAAGCTTCTCAATGGCGTATAAAATTACAGCATTAATTCTCATTTAAACTTGAAATGTGAAATTTAAAATATTAGATAGCTAGATTTTTGTTTAATGGCTATTTATCTGCAGGGATCGCATCGGCAAGGACGACTGTATCGGAACAGCCTTCATTCCGCTTTCGGCTATTTCTGGACAAGGAGACGACGGTATGGCGGTCTTTCCCTAAAACATTTCTGATCTTGCAACCTCGGAGCTTTCCATAAAACAAAATGAAAAACATCACAAAACGTAGATGTTAATTTGTGAAGCAACTTTGTATCAACATTCACTTAAAATCATTTCATTTTATAATCTGCTTTAATATGATCTAACTGATTATTTTTCAGGATTTCTCCCAAGCTTCGGGCCATGCTTCGTAAATTTCTATGGATCAACAAGAGAATACTCAGATTTGCCGGATGAATACGATGATCTCAATATGGGAATTGTAAGTCTTTTATCTAGGGTTTTTATGGAGCATTTGAATCAAAGTGATTTTTGCCTGCTTTGTAGCTAAAACATCCCTGTCACTTACTTGAAACCTTCTTCTCATTGGACAAAAATCAAGAAGCAGCTCATTGGACAAAAATCGAGTAGATCACAATTTTATTTTTACTGCTCCTATTGTGACAGTTCAAAGAATTGATATAATTTCTGTAGGGTTTATTTTGTAATTTGTCATTGATGTTTATATTGCAAGTAAATCTGCCAAGTTGCAAAATTCAACCCACTCAGTACATTAATATACTTTGCTGTTATAAATGTTTAGGGTGAAGGTTGTGGGTATCGCGGAAGGCTTCTCGTTGAATTAGACACAAGATTTGGAGACCATGCTGATCCTCCAGTTCATGACATCATGTCACAAGAGCTTATTAGAGTGCAGGTAGGTTTAATTTATTGCCAAAATCAATTGCAACCTGCAGTATTTAATCCTCTTTGCCTTTATTGTGAATTTATCTAATTGGTTTAGATGAGATTGGCAAATAAAGTTTAGATGATTTTCCTCCAAAGTTTTAACGTTAAAAAAGATACGGTACACTTCTTTTCATCTCCCTGTTTGAGAAAAAGAGATTTGAATAATTGAGAATATGCCATCAAATTAAAATATAGATGCCCTTGTGTACAATGTTGAGTTGACTGTAAAATATCGGTGAACTTGATTTCCTTTAAGATATTCTGAGCAAACAAGAAAATGAATTTTAGCTGTAGCTTTGCTTCTTCGGTTGTGTAATGAGTTGAAATTGTGGACGGAATGTTTTGTTGATATGAGGCAGTAAACACACGTGTTCTTTGCTCGTGTATTGTTTATCTTGTAATTTGTCATTATTTTATCAGTTTCCTCCGCCAATGCTGCTAAAAACTGACCAATTTTCCAACTGCAGTTTAGTGATATCAGTTTTAATTTTCGTCATTAAATCTTGATCCACTTCTGTGTTTTAGACTTACTTGAGGCGCCGTAAATTCAAGCTGTATGCAAGCTTCATATCCGCGACTATGCTCCCTGAAATGGACGGCCCCGTTGAATTTGAAGTCAGCATAGGTATGTCCTCTTTCTGGGCTTAATGTCTGCTTCTTGCCACTGAGTCACAGACGATGGTATGCATCATCATATGACGTCATCATGACGTTATTCGCTGTTTTAGAATGGCAGATGAACTTCGAACATATATTTCTTTAACTTAGAGCTTTCATTTATATTAACTGCTATCTTGCGATATCATAAAATGATTTTGTGTTGCAGGCAACTATGGCAACAAACTCGATACATCTGTTCCACCAATGTCATCTTCCACCCCTCCAACCAATGCTGTTTTCGATGGTGCAAATTACTATTACCTGCCATGGAATGACAGCAAACCATGCTGCGTTGTTGACAGTCATTGGGAAGACATTCATTTCAGATTGGACCCATTGAATCAGTTGTACAAAGTTATCGAAAGATTGGTAGGTAGTTTTGTGTTTGGACATCACCTGTCTTTTTTCTTGTCTGTCCTTCATTGCCTTAACTCTAGACTTATCTTAACTGATATGATTGCAGGTAACCCTAGACTTATCGTACCTTAAGGGTGTATGTTATATTGATTTTGACAGGAAGCGAACATGAAAAAGGTCGACATTGGAATCAATGCTAAGGCCCTGCCTGCAGAAACAGCGGCCCTTTTGATTCGCCTGCTTGATTCTCTCATTGCAGATTGCAGGTTAGTTCACAGTTGCAATATCCTAGATCCTTCAGACTGAAACCGAAAACCTATCCTGGAAAGTTTTATGACAATATCCGAAAAGTTATATGCCGATATCCGCACAAATAATGCACACAACCCAAGAAAATGTAGGCTTCTTGTTCTGCTTGAGTCGCATCACAGTGAATATACTGAATTCTTCGAATTCTGTAGTGCAAAAAATCATTATGTTGAAAATCAAACGTTGACGTTCCCTTACTTCAAATCAGTATTGATGAATATAATAACAATAATAGATATATTTATACAGGGTAAAACCTTTTCAGTGCCAAAGACACTGTGATCAATGAGGGCCCTGTTCTAGATAAAAGTATTTACATGGTTAAAAATGAAAAGTAATCACAAGTTAAAAATGAAAAGTTAAAAATGAAAGTAATAAAGGGTAAAAAAGTGGATCTGAAGTGAACTAGTTGCTGAGGAAATATTCTTTATGAGGAAATGAACTAAATGTTTTTAGTTTCTTCCAACTTTTTGTTCGCGAAATCTAACACGAACAGTTAAGGAATAGGCAGGGTCTAACACGAACTATGATTAGAATGCTTATCTTTCTTCTACCTTTAAGTACCGTTTATTGTTTGCTTAGAACTTCTTCCCATGTTTGCTATTCTGTCAATAATAAACTTGGGTTTTTTTGCCAGCAAGCCACTGCCTGCCTTTGATGCGACAGTGAATGGTGTCAATGAATTGGATTTGAAGCTGCAAGAAATCCGAAATGCCGAATTGCAGCAAATTGTAGCCGAAGCGAGGAATTTGAGAGAGCAAGCAACTGATGTGCATGAAGCAATGGAAGAGATTAATAGCTATTTGAACAGGCTTCATGACCTTTGCACTGAGGTCAGTATGTGCACTGACTACGTATACTATTAGGTCCAGACGTAAGGTTCTAGGCGACCGTACTCTTTTTCGTCGCCACTCTCCTTCCTTACTTGAACTACAGATTGTTATATGATTTGTTTTATACGCAGATTTTTCCCATTTGATTTGGATATATGTTTGTTTTTAGCCCCAAAATTCCATGCCTGATATTGTGATCTGGATGATCTCAGGCAGCAGTCGCATTGCATACCATCGCATACCAACGAACGAGGTGCTGTTTTCTCCAAATGCCGATTCTAAAGGACGAAACTGTGCCAAGATCCAAACATTTGAGCTGAAAGTAAGTCAAGTCTTGACTCAACCCTTACCCCTTCAGTTTTTAATTTGTATGTTGTCAAGCTTGCGAGTAATTCGGTAGCTGTAAATTTTATGCTATGCTTGGGTTGCCTAATGAGGTGAGATAAATAGCAAGAAACCATAGTATATTACCTATCCTTGCCTTGCCTGTTCTTGCTATAAGCACCACTTAAATGTGTTATTTCAAATTCTCTTAGTACCCTGGAAAGAAAGGCCGTGACATTGAAAGCCACCCGGAAATTCCTGCGCAGTTGAGGGTAATTATCTGGTTCGGACTTGAGAAAGACCAAGAGAACTGGACCAAAACCGAAATCCCTGAGGCAGAGTACACTGTTTTTGCAGAAACATACGAAAACCAGATGAGTATTCCGATTGTTGGCTGGACTGCTAAAGGTCTCCCGAGACCAGCTTTTTCGGACTCAAGGGGAGAGGTAAAGCTGGCGTTTGAAAAATTCAACCCCCCAGAGGGCTGGAGTTGGGATAATGAATGGTTCATTGATCCAGAGCTCAGGTAATTATTACTTTCCGTGTATAGTTCACGAAAATAGTTTTAGAAGTGAAGTTACATTTTTGCATAAATGGGACCCTTCAAGTCTTCGCTAATTTGCAAAGTTAAAGGGAAAAAGGGATACAATTTAATGTGTGGTATAGGCCAACTGACAGCAGCTGTTTTAATTTTCATTTATGGTCACAATGTTTGCTAATTTATTTGCTGATGTGATTTTTTATGATTTTTATGAAGCTTGTCGTTTGAAGCCGATTCGGGACACAAAAAATTCTTGGAGGACGCTTTTGAGAACGAATCAAGAGTTCCCGGCGGAAACTACGGCCCTGCTTCAGTTCACTACACAGATGTTGTGAGTATTCCGCTACGTTTTTAATCACCAAGTGCAAAAATTTGTTTTCAAAGGCGTGAAATGTCATTTTTTTTCTGATTCTAATAATCATTGATTGGTGATCTTCCCTGTTGAATTCATTTACGAGATTGCATTCATCTTAGGTTTAGGTTCCATCAAATACACGTAAATTTAAAAAGAAAATACAATAATTTAAATGTGGTTTTACTTCCCGTTTACACGACGACGATATACCTATTGAATGGAATGCGATAATCGTCAAGGCCTTTTTGTTTGGGATCTTTTGCAAAGGTTTTGGGTGTGAAAACGCGTATAGACTTTTTGGTTGGTTTTCTAGAGGAAAAATTGCTGTATTATGAAAATGTCCCCACGTGGACGATTTATCGATTTATTCCTTTTTTCATGCTTTGTTGTGTAGGTGGTGGGATAGCATTTGATCCTGCATCGTAAATCACGTTTTTATTGGATATCACAACGCGCACGTGTTTATAAATCATGCATATATTTTCCTTTTAGCGCGGTGACGCAATAAACCACAGGGATGAGATCCAAGCCCCCGAAGGCTGGGTTTGGGAAGACGACTGGAAGGTAGATGTGAACAGGGCTGTTGACGAAGAAGGCTGGGAGTACTGTGTCGAAGCAACGTTGGGCATGGGATGGGGCCCGGCTGAGAAGACATACCACATGTGCAGGAGACGTAGATGGATCAGAAGTAGGGTGCTGATGAAGGACCCCAAGAAAGAAGCAAAACAGGTAGGTTTCAATGGCTCAAAATGTTCTAAAGTTCATTATAAACTGTTAAAGAAATTAAGATAACCGTTTATTAAAGAAATGCTCTGTCTCAATTTCCGCTCGTTCTCAGATTCTTTAAGTTAAGCTGCCACTCATGTCGTCATTTGCTAAGCTGTTGCGCATAGCTGTTGCGCATAGCAGTCCTCTAGATTACAAATGATTTCGCCAAATTGCTTTTGAGACATGTGTGTGTTTTATTGTCTTATCGAGAACGCATATCTTTTAGCAATACCCCTTCCAGTGTTTTTATGACCCCTACCCCCCCAATGCAATCCCGATGCTTTGAATATAAAATCGTCAATTTCAGATTTTTCTATGAAGACAGGTGCCTTTCAGTTTATCAGCTGGGTTGGGAAGGGTTGACCTATAATATGCAAAGTCAATGTCGATAAAATAGTTAAAATATATTAAGTAAACAATTAAAATAGATAAGTTATATATAGATTTGAAGTTGTTTAAAGTTATCAGATATTTTGTCATATAGAATGAAAAAAGGATATATTCGCGAAATGAGCCTAAAGAATATTGAAGAAAGTTTCTTGTTCTTCTCCGATTCAGGCTAAAGAGGAACAAATGGCCGCCGAGGGCTGGGAGTATGCGCCAGTGTTTGGGATGAAGTTTCATGCTAAAGAACGCAAAATGGACATGGTTCGACGCCGTAGATGGCATCGCAAGATGGTCAACGAAAGCCCTGGAGCGCCGCCAATTTTCAGAATTGAAAAGAAAGACGTAAGGCCGAAGTACTTTTTAACGCCTGTGCCAAAAATATAGATTTATATAGAAACCATCATAGCAATACTGTATCTTAAATCTGTATTTATGTATTTAAAGAAAAAATTGGGTGCTCTAGATTTCTTGAGAGATTAGTCTGGTTTTAGTTTTTTTCATTCTTTAATCTATTATTAATCTACACGTTATAAGATTTTTAAAAATGGTATTTTATTTTTTAGAAAGAAAAGCCACCAGTTCTACTGTCACCAAGGATGTTCCTCTCATTTAAGAGTAAGTAATATAACTACTTTGGGAGACATCGCGTCACTTGGAGAAGTGGGAAAATGCATCTAAAATTCTTTTAAACCTCAAACAGTTTAAAAATTCATCATAAAAAAGTTGGTCAGTCACAGCATGGTTTGCAAAACAGAGATGCCAGCAGCTGTGTTATTTATTTTTTGGCAACTTCAATTCATACTTAATTCGTAATTGTTAATCATTTTGTACACCGTATTGACGGTTGCGACGCGTAAGAATTACAAGAGTCACGATTTTTACTGCTTTTACGTCATAGTTTTCTAGCCTCTGTATGCAACGAATAGAACTTGTGATGCACCGTTTATGTTTGTTACGTTGCTTGCTGCCAAAAAGGTATTTATACCGAATGCTGTTTTACAGACCCTCACAAGTACCAACTCAGAGCATACATCTATCAAGCACGTGATGTGATGGCCAAAGACAACGAGGGAGTCTCAGGTGTGTTTTCAGCGCAAACTTAGCATTTATCTGAAAACGTGTTGATCTTTGTTTTTAAAAAGGGTTAGCTCTTTCATATCTGCAAGGGTCCTGCCGTCTTTGAAAAACCTCTTTTAGGAATGCCCTAGTTTTCCTCAATGTGTGAGACGTTTTGTAATATATGGGAAATTATTGTTTCTGAAACCGATCTTTGTACCATTGCTATAGTATATAATATACCCTGTGAGTTGAGCAATTTTTGTTCCTCGTATCTTCTCTGCCATTCTTATGCCTCAGTATGAACATTCAAATGGTATCGTGTGTTGATGAATACGTTGAAGCGTACATGAAAATCGTACCATACCATTTTGATCTCCAGTTTACATTTTGCTGAGACTTATCCATTAGCCTCGTTTTCGCTACTGCCTCACCTTTAAGATGCTACAACAGAAAGATTTACAGTATGTTACTAGCGACTGCTATTAGCGATTGACATGTAACGTAATATTTTCTTTACTTAGATCCCTATGCAAAGATCTCCTTTGAAAACCATTGTCAGATAACCAGAGTTATAAAGCAGACTGTATGTCCGGAATGGGATCAAACGCTTATATTTGAAGACATTCAGTTGTTTGGTGTTCCGTCTATGCTTGCTGAGTGTGCACCTGTTTGCAACATCGAACTTTTCGATAAGGATCAAGTGGTAAGTTGTTGGTGTTTATACTGCTGATATAATACTGGAAATCCTGAAAAAAATGCTCCAGGAAGCGAACAATTCTCTAGCTCTTGATCTTGCTTGTGAGACTGAAATGAGAAAAGCAAACGGTTTTGTTGTGCAGAAATTTGAAAAACAAAGCAAGAGTCCAGGACACTTTTTAGAAATCTTTTTGAGCAAAATTACACGGTTAATGTTAGATAGGAGATGTGTGTTTATTGTTTTACATTTTTTATCTATTTGTTTTGAATAGTCTTAGTGATAGTCGCGGCTCACAAGACTGCAGAAGTTCCCTGTCTTTCCCAAAACTGTCATTAGTGTGCCTCGGTAACTTTTTCAGCATAGTAGTGGATTTCCGGAGCTAATTTTATCTGCATCTTTTTATCGATGCCTAGGGCAAAGACGAGTATCTTGGACGGTGCAGCGTGCAACCCTTGGTAAAGCTCAAAGGTCCAAAGCCCCCTGGGCCAAAACTTTTGTGGTATCCAATAATGTGCGGAGACAAAGTTGCAGGAGAGCTTCTAGCAGCATTTGAACTGTTTCTGGTGAGTTGCTTGCTCTTTCGTTCGTGAATTCTCTTCTACTTCATATGAATGTATTCTATCGAAGAAATCATGCGGGAATTCAACACGTCCAACAATTCAATTTGCTATGATGATATTCAGTTTTTTTGTTTTACTGGATTTTGAGAATAAAGATGTTGATCAAGATCTTAGTCACGAATAAAGTTCTGAATGTCAATTTTGTCAAGTGTCTCCAATCTACTAGCTAATCTTAATAAAGATAACTTTTCCGGTCTGTTGCCTTCTGCTCGCATTAAGCGTGAAACTTAGAAGTGCAACTGAGAACCGTTAATGTAGCCAGAGAACAAGCAATTTTTCAAGTGTTTGATTTTACCTTAGGATGAAGGAGCCGACATGCCATTTTCGCCGCCAAAGACAGACGATCGCTTCATAGTTCCAAACGGGATCAGGCCGGTCATGGTCCGCACTGGTATCGAGGTTAGTATGGCAATGAGGTTGAAGTTGAATTATTGATATTGTTCGAAGAACGGATCCCCTTCTTAATCATGTTGCTTGAATGGTTGCTAAGATGCTATTATCATATGATATTTTATTATCTATGTTCGTTTTGTTGCGTCTATAGCGAGATATCAAGTTCTACGTTATCCATTATTCTAGCTACTGTGGATAAAACTTGCACAGATATAAACATTTCTTGTCAACGCTATCTGAATGAACCCTGATATTTCTAGATGTTTCAGCAAACCTTTCTAGCACAATGCATTTTCTCTCTTAGATTCTTTGCTGGGGTGTTCGAAACATGAAGAAATACCAACTCGCAAATGTATCATCACCAAATATTCAGTTCGAAGTTGGAGGAAAAATAGAGACGACAAAAATGATAAAGAACGCCTCTAAAAATCCTAACTTTGATGTGCCCACTTACTTTCTTGATGTGGTAAGGAACTTCTTAAAAGACGTTTATTTGTATAACCTAGTTTGCAATTGCAACTCTTTTAGTGTGGAATGTTGGTATAGAAGAAAACATCAAAGGTCATTAAGGTATATTTATCTCCAGGCATTATTCTTGTTTTGGCCTTTTTCTTATCATCTTCTGGAAAGCCTGTGTGGTTTTAGACTTTCCGTCATGTCAGTCGTAAATGGTTTCATATATAACTTATTCCAAAAACGAATAGCAGGTTGTGTTTTTATCTGCCCATTTCGCTAAACCAATCTAATCGAGAGATTTGACTAAACACTGTTAAAATCGTAAACCATCAGTGTTATTTAAATATATTCGTTGTAAAAATTAATGAACATGGAACACTAAGTGTTGTTGTAATCTAACAATATTTCAAAAGTAGACTCCATTAGATGATGTTTACCCTGAAATGCTTGACTATCGTTTTGCAGTATTTGCCCAAGGACGAGCTTTATTCGCCCCCGCTGAACATTCGAGTTATGGATAACAGGTCTTTTGGACGAAAACCAACAGTAGGACTTCATGTTGTCAAGTCATTGGCCGAATTCGCTGTTCCAGCTTTAGATGCACCTGGAGGCCAGGAAGAAACGCAAGGTTTTTTGCTGTTTGCTTCATGCATTGCAAACGACGTCCAAATGACTTAAAATCTCTATTTTTGTTTCTTGAAGGCTACTCACTTTATTGCTAGGCTACTGGCTAGACCCTCCAACCTCACTTTACCCACCTGATTTGGCACAATTTCTTTTTCACCAGCTTCGCCCATGGTTAAATGCTTACTCTTCTCTTCCGCTTAATGAGCCCTCTTTATGTTACCAATCATCAGTTATGTAAAAGATCTCCCTTCAGTGTTATTACTAAAAGCTTACAGGGATGCCATATCTATTAAGGAGGTGCCACATTTGTTCAGGTGTTCTCTGAATAAGTCTTGATCGTAATGGTTATAAACCAGTTGCGTATCAAATAAACCCAATTTTACTTAAAGTAGTCGTTTGCTGTCATGATGTCAGGATTTGCTATGGTTATCGTGTTTTCTTTGCACATGTAAAATAATTAACCTCGTCTTCTGCCTGACCTCGGTTCTTAAAAGTGTTTATTTGAAGTATTTGTTGTGTAATAATCTGATATAATTCTTGGTCTTATTGCAGCCTTTGAACAAGCACCTGAACGTAAAGGTACATATGCATGTTTAGATTTCGGCCTTTTTTCCTACAAATACTAAGTATCTCATAACAACTTACACTTTGTGTAAGGGGAAGCTTTTATGATTGAATTGATTCTCATTATAATTTTTACATTATGGTGAAGAAAAAAATGATTTTCACTTAGATCTGGTGGCGTTCTACTTATTATATGCTCATTTTTTCAGGAAGTGACGTTTCTGTTGACATCGAAGAGAAAAAGAAGAAAAGGGTATGATTGTTTAAATTTTTGCGGGCAAATATTCAGTTATAAATTTTGAAAATTTAAAAGTATTTTGCGCACATTCAATGCTAGACAATCAACAAGGCACTTTTCTACAAAATACTGTTACTGCCCGTGTGATTGAAACAAAGTGAGAAGCAGTTTACAAGAGAAATTTCAACCGATGTTCAACACGGGCTGAGTTTCGACTCGGTATACGGTTGAGACCTTATGGTTTTGTTTGATAATCTACACGGATAACGCTCAACATGCCATTTTAAGTCAAGATGGCATGTTGACTTAAACTCAACATGGCATCTTATGTTACGCAAGCTCAACATGTCAGTTCGTTTACTTTTGCTCTGATGAAGCCCCGTATGCCGGGGCGAAATATTAGCCATCACTGATTTGTGTGTTTGTTGTTGTTTATTCTCGTCGCGTTGCGGTGTTCCTTATACACTACTATGCCATCTCAACACGGGCTGAGACTTTGACGTGGGCCAATATTCTGATGTAAGCGTCAGAAACATTCAGCTCAAGGTGTGTTGTAGTAAAGCGCTGAATAGTAGGGCATCTGTTATCGAATTTGGATAATTATGCGTTACATTGAGGGTGAACTGCTATCGAGTCCAGTTGAGGTTTGTCGTGTACGACGGGTTGAAATCTCAGCCCGTGTTGAAGTTTTTAATGTAAATTGCCTCTAATTAGACCAGCAGTGACTCAAGCTCTATTTGTGAAGCTGGTTGATTCAACTTTAAAATATTATATAAAGCAGAAACAAACCCGTTCACATAAAATCCTTTCCAGGTAGCTTTAGGATTAATTTTCACGTTTTAAACTGGTGTTTAGTGATCGTGTAGCCCTAAACCATAACCTTTGACATAAACTTTAATGACTTCATTTATTTAAAGCTTTGTTTCTTGTGAATTTTACATCCTTTATACAGGAGTGCGGGCATTGACCATTTCAGCATTTCTAGCCAATATGAAAAAATTAACAATTTCTTGTCAATATCTGCTTCCATTTGTTGCTAATTGCTTTACTTTTCCAGAGACCAATAAAGAAAGTGATTAAAGTTCTGGGACGTGGAGTGCCAAGGAAACTCAAATTAAAAAAGGCTAAACGTGCAGAAACGCCGTTGTTAAAAGGGCCTAGGCGCAGTATTATCAATCTATTCGTAAGAACAAACAATTAAAACTTAAATTATTCTTATGTTCTATAAAGAAAGATTCGGTTCTTAAAAACAAAGTTACTTTGTATATCGTTTAATAGACCTGGATAAATTTTCATACCTCAGTTAAAATTGAAAGTGTTTAAGTTGGTAAATCCCGAATTTTAATAATTATAACTTTTTGCTTTAAACAACGATCTTGCTGCCAGCTGCATTAACATCACATGACAATATTGTTTCGCCATTCTATGTTTGAAGACAAACGTAAAAATTGTGTCAACAGATACTAACCTGAAACCTTTAATTTTTGTAGCTGATTAATTCGAACAGTTATACTCTAATGTCATCCTAACCACAAAATGTTGATTATTTTAAGAATATTTGAAATTTAAATTTAAACGGTTTTGATGTAAATTTTTATTTGATATTTTGTTTAGTATTTGACTTTATAAAATATTTTTAAATTATTTGACATCTTTCTTAAATATTTCAGTTTTAGCTCCTAAATTCAGTTAACATGTAATTTCAAGCAAAGAATAAGCAACTAAAAACAAATCTTAAAAGGAAATTACCATTACAGCGAGGTGTATTGAAGTGCCATAATATTTGCTTTGCCCCGCTTTTTTACAGGAATTGTCAACAGATGAGGGGATAGATTGGTGGTCCAAATATTATGCATCCAGTGGCGATTTGGCAAAGGCTGGAATCTATCTTGAGAAAGGTTATGACAAAATGATGGTAGGTGGAGCAGGTTCTCTGCGTTCTTTTACAAAATTTTTGCGCGAGCGAAGCGAATGCTTATTATTATGAAGCACCCGAGTTTCGTTCCTTGTCCGCGCATATTTTATTGTTATTGATTGCTATTTTCCGCTGGTCAAAAGGTTTGCAATAGAAAGTTGCATAATATAACAAAAGAAATCACATTGTGCTCACATGATTTGTTTGTCTAATTGAGCCAATGAATAAGGTGAAATTAAGGCTATCTAGAGCAAACAAGGAGATAGGACATGCAGAGGAGAGAAGGTGTGTAGCAAAATTTATTTATGTATTTCATCTTTGAAATACCAGATCCTGAAAACAAACTTTTACTTGGCGGAAGTTGCCTTGCTTGCGGACCTAATTGCCCTCTCGAGTGAAAAGATTTCGAGAGGTCGTTAAGCGTGTTAGGCTTTGTGAGCGAAGTTGTTAACCGCCACCTTTTTGTGCGAAGAAGCAATTAGGTGCGGAATCCTGAAGTTTCTGAGTGCTTCGATTTCCTTTGCAAGAAAACTTTGCTTCTTCACAGCTCGGTTCTCCGTTTTGGTTGGAATTTTTGATTCGAGGTTTTGGGAATCGAAACAGCTCGCTCGCGACACCTTTCTACCAAAAACTCGAGACCGTACGAGAAAAAGTTATGATTGTCATGGTTTCGCCCTGTACATCACTGTGCAGTGTACTTTTCGACTGCCATTGGTCCAAAATTCGATCGTTTACGGAATATGGAAGGACCGAAAAATACTAGAAGCTGAAATAAGAGCCGCAATAAGTAAAATGAAAAAAAAGCCGCAGGCCCAGATAATATCGTGATAGAAGTGATAGAAGCTCTGGAAGACTTTGCATTCAACGTCTAACAACTATTGCAAATATCATCTACGACACTGGGGAAATTCCTGAAGACCTTCTGAAATCTGTATTTATCGCACTACCTAAAAAACCAGGAGCAATGGAATGCGAATTACATCGTACCATCAGTCTAATGAAAAAACAAACGTTATGAAAATACTTCTACGCGTTATAATGCAAAGAGCAAGAAGATCCATTAGAAGAGAAAGTGAGAAAAGGGTGTTAACGATAAACGTAAAGAAAACGGAATGTATGTGATCTTGGTAGCATTGTGTTGCAAAAGGATTCCGCGCAATAACTAACTGTTTGTTACTTCTAGTTTAAGTCTATTCACTTGTTGTTCGAGGTTATATGACTGTCAGCAAATCAAGTTTAACCAATAGGAACAAAGAATTGCCTTTGAGCATGTATTGCTGACATTACATTACGTTAAAAGCTTTCCTTTTTATTTAGATCTACCGAAAAGAACTGGAAGAAATCGAAGAGTATGGCGGCTTCACCGATTTTGTCAGTACGTTTCATTTTAAGCGAGGAAAAGATGATGATGACGAAGACGAACCGACATGTGGTGAACTCAAGGTTTGCTTTTCGCGAAATTCACCTTAAATTTTGTAATTTATAAAATCTTGATTCTGGTATTACGAATTCAGCCTTTGAAGGACCTTGAAATCGTCTATTGGCATACCTTTGTCGTTAATACTAACTAATCTACAATTAGCCTGCTAGAAAACAATTAACAGTCAGCTACTTTAATTTTGAATTTTAATTTGATTTTAATTTTCAATTTTGCAAACGTTTATCGTTTTAGGGGCAAATAAAAGTTTACCCGCTTCCTGCAGATCCAGGTCTTCCTCTGCCACCAAAATATTTTAAGACCCTTCCAATGAGCACCGTCACGGAATGCATTGTTCGTGTTTATATAATCAAGGTACGTGCAAAGAATTTTGATCCACTATCTAAGATAAAGAGTTGGAGCCAATAAGAAACTCTAGTTGAAACTTCCACGGCACTCGCATTGAAATTATTTGGTCAGATGGTTCGGCAGTGACAGCACGTTTTGGAATTTGTACCTTTTTGAATTGATTTAGTTCCAATTGTTGCACTTCCTCCTGAAGGCCTATGCGAGATGCAAATGTAGATTTAAGTGCACTTAGCATAAGAATTCTGGAAACTAATCCAAGGTACACAAACCCACATCCGTTATTAACTAAAATTCAAAAGTCGGTTAGAAAAAATATGGCAGAACCCAGAGTTTACTTTTGGCAGTCTGCGATTTTAAAAAAACGGCAATTCCTTGGCAGTTTGCCTTTATAATGGTTAACAATTAGAGTGCTCTTCACAGCCCATCATGCAACTTTTTACCTCATTTTGTGCTTATCTTCTATCTATCTGAATAAAATCTTATCTCTTGCAAACTTTTCATTTCAGGCAATTGAATTGCAACCACAAGATTCTGGTGGCAAGGTATTGTTATAATTTAATATAATTTATGAACATAAAAAGGAGGTTTGTAATAAAACGGCTTTCGCTGCATCAAGACAAATATACACTTTCCTTTTCTTTATCTGAAGATGCTGAAATTGGCCAGTTTTTGAAGTCTGGGATAGGTTGGGCAATCATAGAGGGGGAGGGGAGGGGGTAATTCTCTGAAGGACCCAATTTAACTCCTACGTGTAATTTTTCGCAGCCAGAGGCTTAAAATCTGGCAAGAATTTGTATGTGTAACCGGATGATCATTTCTTATTTCTCATTTCATTTCATTTCATTTCTCACAAATAGTGGTCTTGTTTTATTAAAGCAGACTTTGCAAGAGGACTATAGCATTTTCTAATATCTATTCATGCTTATGTTTATGCTTTTTATACTTCTGTAATTTTTAATTTTTTCACTTTTTATATGTTATAATAATATATGTTTACTAAATATATTTTATATGTTTACTCATTTATCCAATTAAATTCTTGTTTGTGTTCGTGCATTTACATAGCTGTTTCCTCATTGTTTGAATTTACAATAGTACACACGTTCCCTTTAGTCAGCTAAAGATAAAACCATTCGTTCTTATTGACGGCTTTTTCAACAGGCTGATCCATACGTAGTAGTTGAACTTGGAAAGAAGAAAGTTAGCGACAAAGATAACTACTGTCCTAATACGGTTGATCCAATTTTTGGAAGGTAAATGAATTTGTTGCAAAATTACTTCTCTGTCCTCTGCTTATATTGATTTTTGTGCTATTTGCACTTTTTCAAACATTACTAAACTGATTTCTAGATTTAACATTGGCAAAGTTGCATCCGCTGCAAAATGAAAACTGCAAAATTCGTTGCTTGTCGCATTTTTGATTTTTCAAAATCATATTTTCTATATGTCAGGGATGTTTGTTAATCAAGTTACAGTCGTTATTACTTATTGTCCAAGTTGTTGTTGTATCGGAGTCGTCGTATTTGCAACAATTTCACTTCCTTTTTTTTGCATGAAAAAACAGCATCCTCGAATCAGAGGTGGAAAATTTTTTTTTCTTTCTGGGAACCTAAGAATCTGGCTCAAAACTTTCTGAAAGATTTAGGGGGTAGACAAATAAACTTTCTGTTTGTGCCTATATCTCTTAGTTGATGTATAAAAGAGGGCAAATTTAATTTTGAGAAGTATGATACTTCTCTTTTGAATGTTCAATTTGTTTTTATTTCAATGCTTAATTTGTTTTTTTCTCAAAGTATTTCTATAGAAGGTTAAATTGAATGCATAAAATTGTCAGGCAATCAACTTCTTAACATAATCAGTGTCATTTAACATCGGAGATCTTGACTATTGTTCAAAAACAGTCATTCTCAACATATTAGATATGCCTTTACTTAATGCATAAATGAACATAAGAAAGAAATCATTCTTAGCTAGAAATTGATTCATTCAATCAATCATGATGGAAAACCAAAATCAAAAGGAAAATCCATGCAATAATCTCCAAACATAGTTTCAGAAGAGTAAGGGGCAAAATCATTTGAATTGTATGGTGCATTTTATGACTTAGCCTAATCTTTTGACAAGTGAGAAGCAATATGTGGTTAAAATGGAGTCCTAGCATGCAACAGATTAATGTAACCAAGCATATTAACTTATGATCAATGCTGCTCACACCATGGTGTCAGAAATATTTTCTGTGAAAGTAGATTCCAGTCCCTATATTAATCTCAGTCTTAATCATGGTTTGTCTTAAAAGCTCAGCTGCTAAAAAAATTCTGATCGTGAGTGGCTGAGATTTCTGTGAGATGGTGAATGTAAATAATGTGCACAAAGAATTTATTTCCAATGGAAAGAGACTAATTCCCACATTCCTTTGGCAGCTCAAATTTAGCTGCTCACAGACGAGTTAAAATAATATTTTCAACTAATTTGACTTAACCTATGTCACCAAATTTTTATATTTACTTTAACACTTCAAAAAATTTCTGTGAAACTTTCTGCCAACATTTTCATCTAGAAACATTTCTGGGAACTACGTTCCCAGGTTCCGATACTTTTTCCACCTCTGCCTCGAATAACCTACTGACATGATTAACGTAATTGTTTTAGGATGTTCGAAATCGAGGCATCAATCCCAATAGCAAAGGACCTAAAGATTAAGATCATGGATTATGATCTCATAGGCAGAGACGACCTCATTGGTGAAACAGTTGTTGATTTGGAGAACAGATACCTCACAAAATACAGAGCAACTTGCGGCCTTCCACAAAGCTACCATTCGTAAGTTGTTACCTTTTCGGTAAGGTAGTGATTTTACCAGAAAATAAGTAATATTTCAAATAAAGCTAGATCTGATTATGTGTCAGCAGTTTTGAAGCATGTCAAACAATTTTGCCTCCCGTTGTCTTTTGCTCAGCATCACGTGACATTGTCGTTGACTTTCGGAAGTTTTTGCAGCCCAGATGTAGAAACATCACCATTCGTGTTGTTTAAGTTTTTTTATTTGAGGTGTAGTTTAAAATCATTTAAAATTGTGTTATATACCCGAGTCTTTTATGTATTAAGATTTTGCAAATGTTTCCTTTAGGTCAGGAACATTCCAGTGGCGTGACGTCAAAAGTCCGAAAGAGCATTTAGAGAGGTGGTGTGAGCGACATAGCGTTGCCAAACCCCAGTACCTTAGCAACACACAGCTTGTACTTGACAGCAAAATTTACAAACTAGAGGACTTCGGTGCGTCAGTATAATAATTTTCCTGTCCATTGATAATCAAGGCTTGTTTGACCTGTGCGCACTGCAGTAAATTTATGTGAATGAGTATGGCCGTCCCATTGATATCTAGTATAAATGCAATTCTGCATATTTCACATCAAAATGTGATAAGAGCTGCAGTCTTCGAGATGTATCGGACACAAAGAACTATGGTCCTAGAAAGTGCTTCAGCTACCATTTGCGTTTGATGGCGAAAGAATGATTTTGTTGATTTGCATCTTTATGAATTCGGATAAATGATAAAAAAATTTCCATCCCGAAGCTAAATCGAAATTTCACTTTTAAAGTTCTTTGGAAAAGTATATCATTTCCTCTTAGCAAATATTGGCAATAAACACCCCCCCTCCCCTATATGCTTAGGGTATATATTAGGGTAGAAAAAGCATCCCTATATTCCCTTTATTTACGTTTCTTTATCAAGTCCTCCAATGTTCATGTAACTACTCGTTTTGCCTATAAACATGCCTTATTATTTATGAATATTTTTCTTCCAGAGGAAGGCATGACTGCCCATCCTCATTTAGGCCCAGCAGAACAAAGGCTCGCCCTGCACGTCCTTAATATGCAGAACCTCGTGCCAGAACATATTGAAACAAGGTCAATCTACAACCCCTTACAGCCAACCATCGAACAAGTATGATCTTGCTTGCTGTTTGTACGAATCACTCTTTATTCACAAAAACCTGACAATCGCAAACTGGTTTGGCTCGTGCGTTTGTCGGCTTTTGCTTTTACCCGTGTTCCGTCTGCTTCATATTATCCCGAATTGTTTAGAAAATTTTTACTTTTTTTTTGAAACTGAGTAAGAATGGGCAGGCCGGAAAACCGAAATTGAATCAACCAGAGAGCACCGTTTACTTAAGCGCAAGAAAAGTAGTGAAAGGCAGGAAATTTTTGTTTCCAAATTATTATAGTAAGCCTATATGTTATTTAAAGGGGTTGTGTCACGGTTTTGTAAACGAACCAAATACATGGGACATAGTGCGTTTTTAGCTTGACTTGCACATCGGGATAATGGCGGATGGTGTTCCGGTGAATCGACAAGCTCGATAAATTGTATTTTCTGAGCGTATTCAACGAACATGGATTGGACACTTGCTGTATTTCAGCATATTTACCTACTATCGAATTAAAAAGTGTATGTTAATTTGGTCTAGGCTACGGGAATGAAGCTTCATTCAATCATGGCGAAGATATTCCGTTTCTCTTTGTGAATTTAAATGGGATTAGACACTCTAAAACAAAATGATTACTCCAAATTTGTCCTGCAGACTTTAATAATGTTTTTCGCTCATAATTTACATTAGTAAAGAAGGGCTTTTAGTGTCATTTCGGGCAATTTCCATAAACAGCTCCTTGCGGTATCCTAACCGTAAAAGTGGCCTTTGTTTTTTGTATTGCCATCTTTTATCCAAAGAAATACGGTGATAAGACTGAAGAAAGAACCATCCAAAAATGCAAAAGCTTCGAACGATGACAAGGATACAAAAAACTCTTTTATTCCATATTGGTTTTCCTATTAAACGCAGGGTGTTTCACCCAAACAACTTTTGCAAATTGGCGTGTTGCCACGCGAGATGTCTCTTGTGACACAGCCCTTTTAAGGTAAATTATATTTTTTAGCACAAAGTATGAAGGCTTTGGTCAATTGTGTTTTCAAGGCTTTATCATCTTGAATTTTTGTGTTCAGGGTCAAGTTGAGATGTGGGTCGACATTTTCCCCAAGTTCCTCGGTGCACCTGGACCAGCTGTTAACATTGCTCCAAGACAACCAAAGAAGTGGGTATCAAGCATTTTTATCCGAACATGTAAATTGCATGTAAATGTCCTCCTACTGCTTCTTCAGTATTATTTTTTTGGCACAGACAAAGTTATGGTAACAGAATCAGTATGTAAAAGGCATTGACAATGTGTAACTCGTGATAGCCGTAAAACGTGAGAAGTGGTCTTCTAGATGTGTGTTTAAGAGCGCTAACCAGGTTTGTAGAAGGGTATCTAGGGGGCAAGAGAAAGAAGGCAAGGGTGTGTTTCACTCGGAATCAAAGGGAAGAGTGGTAGTAGTCGACCATGAAACTTCTTTAAAGGGTAAATGTTTCATTAGCATTTGGCTACAACAAAAACAACGTTTGGAGTTCCAGTGTTTTGTGGTCTATACTGCTATTAAAATTCATCCACGATCCCGTGCTTTGTACTGAGCACAAAAGGTTATTGTATTACGTTAAATAATCAGGTTCATGACACACATCCCTTATGAGAAAAGAAGTCAAATTATCATCTTCAGAAAACCCCTTGGTTCATTGTTTTTTAAGTTTGAGAAAGTTCTGGCTTATAAATTTGATGAAGAGTTTCTCTGTTATATAACCAAAAACATCTCATTTGGCTGCAAAAAGATATGAATTTTCAGATTTTAGTAGAAAAAACTTACAATTTGCCAAGCTTTGAGGATCATTTTTTCGTAGGGTAATAGCAGGGTATTAGAAGGGTAATAGCAGGGTATTAGAAGGGAGAATTTGCCGCCACTTTGAACTGAAGTGGTTTTCCTTGGTCATGTTTTTTATTTTCTTTAACAGCTTCGAACTGCGAATGATTCTTTGGAATACGGCTGATGTGATTATGGACGAGACATCCATTACTGGTGAGCAAATGAGTGACATTTATGTCAAGAGTTGGATGGAAGGAATTGATGACGTGCAGAAAACTGACATCCATTACAGGTCCCTCAATGGAGAAGGCAACTTCAATTGGAGAAAGGTTTTCCCATTCTTGTATATGCCAGCTGAGAAAGTCATGATTGTGAAAGAGAAGGTAAGGCATCATGCGTGCTATGGCATTGTGTGAAGTTTTTTGTGTCAATGTACATCATTATTGATTGCCCTTATTTAAGACTGCCATCATTGTAGTTGAATTATACTCAGTTTGTTATAAAATCATCCATAGAAACACTTCTGGAGTTTGGATGAAACTGAAGAGCGTCTTCCACCATCTCTTATTGTGCAAGTTTGGGATAACGACAAGTTTTCAAGTGATGACTTCCTTGGTGAGTTTATTTCTTCAATAAGGGTAAAATTGAAGACGTATATCTTGGTAACCAACCTATGTGGAAAACCTGCCAAACCTTTGATTTGACAGCTTTGGTTATGATTGCGATGACACCCTGTTTTGTTCCTATGTCGTTAGAATTTTAAACTTTATTTTCATTGAAGCAGAGCCAGGCCAAAAAAATTGAAAGCAGTTATTTTCCGATGCGACTTCCCTTTTATATTTCCATGAGCCTTGGCAGATTTCTTTTTCGCCTGACTTTGCTCAAAATCTGCTTGTCAAAACTGCATTATATAACCACATACATACTTTCGTTTAGGAACTATCACCTTAACACTGGATCACATGCCAAAGCCAGCCAAGTCTTCAGAGAAGTGCAGTCTCCAACAAATACCAAGGATAGATGCCCAGGCTGGTTCCAACTCCCTGGAGTTCGTCGATCTGTTCCAAATGAAGAGGTGCAATGGCTGGTGGCCAGTGTTTGTCGAAGAAGGGGACACGAGAACACTAACAGGCAAGGTTGAGATGACTTTGGAGATTCTTGCAGAAGACGAAGCAGCTTTGAAGCCAGCCGGAAAGGGACGAGACGACCCTAACCAGAACCCAAAATTGGATGAACCAAAGTGAGATACTTTTTGCTTTAGAATCTGTTCTCAACGTTTATCTTCTACCCTAATGTAAGTGTCTGCTTGTTTAAGCCTTCGTTTTAAGATCAATCGGTGTCCATCACCACCAATCATAATCGACCAATTCATCAGCCGTAGTCAATCAGAATCAATTAGTTAATCAATAGCTCCAATCAGTAAATAACTACAGTCTACACCATTATCGTTATCAACAGTTTATATAATCAACATCTTCATCGCTAATCTTCATAATCTTCATAAAAGCTATCATCGTCTTCGTAATCGTCATTGAAATCATTAGCATTGTTGTTGAGATAATCTCCTATATCCATCCCATCATCTCATCATAATGATCGTCAGTTAGAATCACTTACCATAAACTCATCGATGTGCAAACCCAGAAAACTGTTTTTTTCTCGTGTTACCTATTTAATGGCCGTTAAATCAAGCAACGTGTTTAGCTTACTGAACTGTTCCTTTATAGTCGCCCTGCAACCTCATTCTTTTGGTTCTCATCGCCGTGGAAGACACTGAAGTTCATCTTGTGGCGCCGTTACAAGTGGTACATCATTGGGTTCTTGATCTTTATCATCCTCCTGCTGTTCGTCGTGCTGTTGCTGTATTCGATGCCCGTGAGTTATTTTCAATTAATTTTTAAGATTCTTGCAGCTTTTTTTCCAATTTCGTCCAAGGCCCTGAAATTCCCTCTAGTTCTTCTGAAATTCCCTATATTTCTTCTGAGGCCCTGATTTTTGGTCAAAATGGGAAGAGTTCTTTTGTCAAAATGGGAAAAGTTCTTTTGTCAAACCTAACAAAGAAAGGGGAAAATAATTTGAAATATCTGAGATGAGATGAAAACCTAGCATCGTGTATTTCGAAGTTGGAATAAAGTAGCACAATCTTTACCATCTCTTGCCTCCTTTTATCATAGACCATGGGGAAATATTGAAGGCGCGATTACATTTATCTATATCATTCATTCATCCAAAACTGTTTGAAATAGTTGTTTCTTAAGATGTGTTCTGAAAACCTTTGCTTTTTCTTCGTAGGGATACACTGTTAAGAAGATCTTTAGGGTCTGAGGGGTGACACAAGAATATTTGAGAAACATTTTATTTCATGAATTATATTTGGACAAGCAATTTTTCTCGTAAGCTTATTTGAATTAATAACTATTTCAAGACATATTGGAGATTTGCACTTTGATGGCCGGTACTGCTTCGGTGATGTTGTCTTTAGGTATTGGATCTAAAAGTTTTGCGGACTTCATATCAGTAGCGCTTGCTAAACCAAATTGATTTACGTCATTAATTGATACGAGTCATTTCAATTCACAATGTTTATTTGGTGTTGTTTTTCCTGAGAATGCCAAAATTTCTAACGTTTTAAATTCGCTATCAGGGTAACTTGAAGCTCTTAAATTGGCTGTTTACATATGTGGTTTTAAGACACTGTTTGCCATTTAGATGTGGTTTTCAGAAGAACCTGATTAGCCACGCTTCAAATGGAGCCACTTTGAGTAAGAAATTATTCAAGTTTGTTGGTTTAAAAAAGCTATTTAGAAGTTGATACCGGTCTATCTTTTGTATCTCTATTTTAATTTTGTCAATTTTTGCTAACATCTTTGCATAACAGTATTGGAATTCTACATTTGTTTCTTTCGTCTATGTCTGCTGGGAGAGCTTTCTGTTTTTTGGAAACCATGAAAGAGTTGAGAACACTAAGGTGCAACGTCAGTTAATTCATTTTGTATAATATATTGTTCTACAACTGCACCTGTTGAAAAAATTAATTTTTTCTAAAACCTGTTTTTTTTCTAAAAAACAATATTTCATTAATTTAAAACTAATAATAAGATATCTCGGTTAATAAGATATTATTGTAAAAATAATAACAAGAGGAAGTAAGAAAAAAGAATTTTCAAAACAAGATCGTCCCGAAATCCTTCAATTGCTCCTTGAAATTTTGCAGTGCTGAGGCTGTTTTGGTATCTATATCAAGCTTACTGCACGTTGCAAACGATTTTTGCCAATTAGTCGTTCTCGTTGACGGGGTTGTTGTCACGCAGGACATCACGTGTAGGGTTGGAAGACAAAAAAACGGAGCCCACTGCCTGGTTTTTTTTAGGTTCCTCGCATGTCTAAAAGCAAGTAGAATATAGAGTCGTGTAAGTTCTCTATTTGATCTTGGTAGGAGGCAATCGGGCGAGTTTACTGTTTACGTAACTAGGATCCAAAGACTTAAGTGCTGGTGCATGAAAAGAGCTATTTGTCACGACCCTGATGTTTCCCACAGCCGATAAGGCTACACACGGATATACCATAAAGAACTACATTATTTAGATGCGTTTCGACAATGCCACGTTACCTGTTACTTAGAACATAGGGTTTGGCGCATAGCTTTGCAGATTTTAAAGTGTCAACGCCCGTGAGACTTTTAAGTATCAAAGTACTTTAGACCAAATCAATGGCACGAGACTTGCTAAGGATTGGACTTAAAATTATCATGATAACGGGTAACATTGTTCATAATAGTTAATAAAGTTTGTTGCCCGGTTACTCAAGTAATATCACCTCGATAAAGAGTTCGTCAAGTAAATTACGTTATCTGCGTACTTGTATATCAAAAAGTCTTCACAACTTTCCGATCCTCTCGCAACTGTCCAATTGGCATTAAGTCCTTCAAAAAGTTTCTCCTCATAGTTGTGTTTAATCACACCTAAATGATTCTATTTAGTCAATGTTGTTTGCCAGTTAAGAATCACCATATGTCCGGCTTAAGAAGAGCTTACCGCTCTAAACAAAGTCTTCATAATTGTTATCCAAGACAAAAACAACTATAAACCTGCTTGCTTTTTCAATAAAGCAAATGAATTCTCTAACTTTGTCATTTAATTTTGTTTATGAAATACGCCAGGATATGAGTTGACCGGGCAGGTTGTTGTATTGTAATACGAAGAAGATGCGCTTTGCAGTTTGTGATTTCAAAATGTCGAATCATTCCAGTCCTGAAACAGATAATTCTCCGATGAAACTTGATCTAAAACATATCGAGAGGCCAACGTACATAAGCCAGGATGAAATTCAGTTGAAAGTAAGGAAAATTTCTCTTAAAAAGGAAGCCAACAACTGGACGCATAAGGAGATTGTTCGAAAATCGTTGTCTGATGCTGAGTGTGAAGAGGATATGGTCGAGTTAGTGCGGGAAGAATTGTATCTGCGGAAAGGCTCGCAAATATCCTTGCACGGCGTTTCGCATCTAGCTTATGCTAAAGACACTTCAAAAAGGATTTCATGGCTGCTGGTGATATCTATATTCTGGGCTTTTCTGACTTACATGCTTGTAAGTGTCTTCGTAAGTTATGCTGCTCATGATGTGTACACGGTGAGAGAAAAGGTGCAAGTCAACGAAATGGTTTTTCCTGCAATATCCTTTTGTAGCACTCCAAAGCTGGATGAAATTTTCCTAAGATACAATGTATCATATCAAAATCATAATGATGTGACCGCATTGCCAGTTTTGCATCGATTTGTTGGTGATTACATCAGTAACAGAAGCACAAAAAATCGACTGTCAGTTTTGAAAACAATGTTCGTAGAGGGCATCGGTGCCTGCCAGTTCGGAAACAAACCGTGCAGTTTCGAGAGGGATTTTAAAGCGATCTCAGAGTTTCATTTTGATGGAGTCTGTTTTACGTTCAATCCATCAGGCACCTTTTCACAACAAGGCGAAGGAAGTAAATTTGGTCTTTCAGTTATTGTTTTTGTCAATAATACGGAGGAAACTGTTGACATGGCAGTGAGGCCAGGACTTTCATTAGTGATAAATTCACATGATGTGTTCCCGTTTCCTTTGATAAACGGAATATTAGTTTCGCCTGGAGAACTTACATTGATAAGACTTCAAAAACAGCGAATGACAAGGCTACCCGCCCCGTTTCCGCGTAAGTGTGCTGACAATGGTCCCATCTTGTTCCCAGGGAAATATACTCCAAACAACTGTAAACAATCTTGCTATATCCAGAAGGCACTAGACGCCTGCGAAGCGTCTGTTTTCCCAGTGAATAAGGAAAAACAAAATTGCTTTTATTCTAAACTAGTAGAAGAAAATCTAGCTCACCATCCGCATGCATGTGCTTGCCCTTTGCCTTGCAAAGAAGACCGGTTCATTCCTTTGGCCACACAGTCTGACTGGCCAAATGAAGCAGATTTGCCTTATCTTAAAAAGCTGTTCGCAACTGCAATCGGCAAAAATTCTTCCACCTTATCTAATGAATATGTAAAAAAGAATTTTCTGCGTGTCAACATATTTTTCCACGAACTAGCTTACGAGAAAGTCGATGATGTGGCGGTGTGGACACAGCAAAAGCTCGTGAGTGACATTGGTGGCCAAATGGGAATATGGGTGGGAGCCTCGTTGTTCACAGTCATGGAAATGATGGCTTACATGGCATCCAAAATAAAATCATTTCTTTACTTATTGTGTCACAGGAGCTAGCATAATGAAAAATTGCCGGCAATGACGTAGATCATTTACTTACAATTATTCTAGTAGCTTTTGTCTTTGCTCAAGCAAGGATAAAATGCTAGATGTATCTTTAAGATCTTAACAATGTAAACTTTAGTTAAAGATACATAACAGAAAACAGCCGACATAGCAACAGCTGATGTTGTTTTTTTCTTTTACACCAATGATAATCTGGTAGCCTGGTAGTAATTTTTAGTGGCACTTTGGCCAAAATGGGATGGCACGCAGACATAAATTTGCTTTCACATTTGCTAAGCACTAAGAAAGCATCTGATGCCTATTTGCAGAGCAGTATCACACGGTGTCTAGTTTTCTAGGCGTTGATTGTCCGCAAACACAAATGGGCTCACAAAGAGTTGAAGTAGATCAACTGCTAGCAAAAGTGAAGCTGTTATTTCTAGTACAGCAACAGTAAAAAGCCCAAAACCAAAAGAACGTTTGGTAGATGCTATAGAATCTATTTAAAAAGATACATAACCAGGTGTAAGAACTCGTTCCTATGTGATTTCTAATAGAAAGAACACTCTTGTAGAAATTATCGAGATTGTCATCGAAATCACAAACAACATTTGTTTATTTAAAACAACATATGTGTATTTTCCAAAATAATCTTTTCATTAGTGTGATAGTAGGATATTTATCTAAGTATTGATTCATATCCAATCGTCAATGATTATCTGATATTTTGTAATGGGTAGCAAAGTATAAGAAATAACATGGCCCTCCTTTGGTTGCAAACGCTGTGTACAAATTGCTGTGACCAATGCTGAGAAGAATATCCTACCATTCTGCAACACATAAATAATCGGTTTTTGCCAAACTTAATGAGCCTTACTATAAGTTTAAGAGTAACAATAATTATCATAGGGGGTAAATAGGTTTTTAATTGGTTAAGCAAGATATGCTAACGAAAGGTAGCAAAATGTAACTAAACAAGCCTTTAAACCTGCAAAAAAATGAACTTTTCATGGAAAAGCACAACCTAAATACTGTTTCACTGATTTCCGTATGGTCCCCAAAAGTAACTAGTATCTTTTTACAACATCAATGAAATATGGACTTGTTGAAGTCTCTCTTTTGGCCTTCTTGAAGGGCCATAAAAAAGAGAAGAAAGAGAGAGAGAGAAAAGATATCCTTTCTCTTTTCTAACTTCTTTTCTTTCATTTTTCACTTTCTCAAGCTTTTCTAGGTCGCACTTTCTTTTCCTCTCTCTTGTAAGAGGACTGATATAAAGACTTTGATATAAAATGGTAAACTGTCTTTATATTCTCTTTAACTTGTTGCTCCCCTATTCGGCGGGGTTTGGGCTTGGCATACTCCTTTGCAAAAGAGCTTTTTGCAAAATATTTTTCTATCGATCTTCAGTTGCCCCCCCCCCCCACTTTCCAGCTTGCATTTAACCCCGTCTATTACTAAACAAAAGACTTTTGATAGCCCATCTCTTGTAGTAGGATTAGTGTGTCAGTGCGTTCCACCATTGATAATTTCACTGTACTGTCCAATGCCATCTATTGTCTTTGTACGGCCGTGGGAAATTTATGTTTTGAATTAATTCTTTACGAAAATTTTTTTAGCAAGTTGGACTGAGCAGAAAATTGGAGTTCGCACTAGCGAATTAAATTTTTTATTTTATTGTTTTTTTTTATTGAAAGAATGACCTTATCGTCGAGATCACTTGCATACCAGAACAATTCACTTCAATGACAGATTTACCTCACATTGACTTTGCAAACAAGATCACAAAGACAAAGAAAGGATGGTTGCAGGCAGAGGCAGGATAAGGTATATCAAAGTCTTTTGTATTTCATTACACAATATTTCGAATCATTTGCAAATATTTATTTAAGGCGAAAATAGTATTATCAATAGTGGATTGATTATAAGTGATACACAAAGGGTTCAACCTAGGCCATTTCGAAACTAATGTTTTAGGCCAAGAAGAAAAAGATGAGAGAGGCATGAAAAACAAAGGTCAAGATACATTTTGGTTTTCAAACATATTTAGATACTGCGAATACTAATTTGTTGTGTCAATGATTGCTCATTCAATTTTCGTTATTGATAACATGGCAAATTAAACCACTTTTGGAAAATTCACGTTTGTAATGACAAAGGAGCATGAAATAATACCATATCATACTGATTTGCATGCCTAATATTTGTAGAGTTATTACTTAATTGTTGATCAAAGTAAGAGCAAGTTCATATGGAGAAAAATCAAAAGCATTTTTCCAGTCCCATACACCTATTCGACTTATGACCTTTTTTGAAAAAATTATTCAAATTCTTTTGTACAAAATTTTTCACCTCAAATCTGGATTTGGAGCAATGATTTTAGTCTACTTGGAAGTTTTCGTTATGGTCTTGCTCACGATATTGATTTTATGACAACATAAAGATAAAAAGCTCATAAGGGATTTGACTGTGATTGGCAACTAGGAGGGTAAAGTTTCACCTGGAATGATTTTTGCAGTCAAACTTCATTTTACTGTAAAATCTAAAATACAAGCCCAAACAATATGAAAAATTGTATCAGGCTTAAAATTATGGTGATAAAACTGAGCTTAAAAAGTCATATAATTAAGTTTGGAGAAATTTCCAAAACATGGCTGTAATTGGAATTGGTGAATTTAGGTGTGATCCTGCCTCGTACGTCTTTTCTCATACAAAATAGCATGAGCATTCGCACAAGAAAACATTCAACCAGCTAGCCAATATCTTGCTTGAGCACTACCAAGATCTGGCCTAGGGATGGAAATATTTTCCTAAACAGATTTTCTCTACAAAGAAGGGAACTAATTTCATTTGCAAAAGCACAATCTGCAATGATCATTAAAAATGGCTTATTATAGTTTTCTGGTCATGGCAGGAAAACACCTGCATATGAAAGGTTTATAATTATTTTTCCAGCTAGCCAAAATTCCCCATTGAGAGGAGAAAGACAGAGAAATCTTTCTCCATATGATTACAATAATTGATCAACCAACAGTGAAAAAAATTGAGCTTGATTTTATCTACTTAAAAGTATGGAAATCAAGCTCAATAAAGGAAAAGTATGTAGTGACCATTTTCCAACCTAATCAAGTCATCTTCCTAACAGTGAGTCATTGCGCTATTCAGCCATCCTATACTGCATTTCAGACAGTCTGAAATCAATTTTGGTTAATCCGCAGAAATTTACTGCCATTGTTTGGATCGTCACCTGGATAATTTGCCATGCCTGCAAAGGCTCACTGTTAACAATGAGTCTTTAATATTTTCCATTGTTTATGTATCCACAGCAATCTAAACAAGAACACTTTGGTGGTGTCACTTCATTTTATGTGTATACATCTACTGTAATTAGTCAGTCAGTAAATTCATCAGGACGCAACAGTCACACAGCATCATCTCCTACGGGAATGTAGGAATTCATATAAAATCAACCAGCGTATGGGAAACAGCACCATTATATGCAAATTATTCAGTTTTTGAAGAAAGAGTCCAACTTTCTTGACTACCGAAACTGATTTCTTGACTCAAATTTCGACAAACAAAGCATGATCTCACAAGGATGATATTTCTAATCAAAGCACACATCTAATCAAGAGCTTCTATTTCAACTAGATTTCAATGAAAAAATGTGACCATCCCAAGTGAAGAGATATTTTGAAATATGGATAGAAAAGGCAAGCCCCCAAACTTACAACTTGGTGACAAAGTGAGTCAAAAATTGGATGTTAAACCAAAGCCTTTTAAACAAGGGATTCATTTTCGAAGGCAGAAGAATAGAGAATGGGAAGATTTTAAAGAATGGAAGGCAGTGTCACATTCAGTATCAATATTGTTTAATGGTAAGACATATTTATTAATGCTTTTTAAGTCTTATTGATTGGTATTTTTATTAATTTTTTTGTTAAGTTAACATTTTTCAGTGTCTCATTCTTCACATGTGGTAGTTGCAAAAACTCAGATAAAAATTATTGAGTTATTTTTATCATAATTTTGCAATTGAAAGATTGATTCAGCTCATAAAGCCACAACACCTGCAACAATTTTTGGAGCACTCCTAGCAAAAGCACTGTTTTGTGAAATTTAAGTTGAAAGTCATCAAGCATTGCACAAGTTTAGTCTCCTGCAGGGTAACTTGGAATGTAAAGCATTGCTAAAATGACTTTTTAAGATTTTATTTTCGTTTCTGAGAGTTGTAAGAATTTTGACATTACACATTTCAAAGTTGAAAAACAAAGTTGCCATGAAAATTTCCATTCCCGTGATAATTGCCAGACAGCATATCACTGCATATCACTTTTTGCAAACAGTTATCTGGGATTTCTGGGATTTTTCTCGAAAAAATAGACAATTTGATTTTTGCTAAAAGGTGTACGAGATTTGCATGGAGTGATATTCTCCGCAAAGGAGCTATTATGTGCGAATAATATTTACAAGTCATTACATGATGCTCAAAGAAAAGAACGATCGAATGATTATGATTAATAAGAGTAACAAATAAATCGATAAATGCAGGGAAATAGAGAATAAATCTATTAATAAGGAGAATACAGAGATAAAGAGAAATGATAAAGAGAGGAAGAAACAAACAGTAAAATTTATAAAATAGTTATTGAGAACCAAACTGGCACCATTGACGTAATGATTTTCGGTCATTTGGGTGTGATTGTAAAATAATGAAGGTAGATGAACGGTTCAGAAAGTGTGGTGCCTGCAGAAATTGTGAGTATTAACTTTGTGCCTGCAAGCGCCGCCAGCACACTTGCGAAGATTGAAATAGATCTGTTGAGCCCTGTTCTTATTAGCCCATTTTTTACAAGAGTAGCACCTGATAAGAAATCATAGTTATGCTAACGAAAGGCGGTAAGATGTGGCTAAATAAGCATTTTATACCGCAAAATTTTTATGGAAAAGCACAAACATAATTTCTGTTTTACGGATTTCCGTGCGGTTTCCAAAAGTAACTAGTAACTTTTTACAACATCAATAAAATACGGATTTGTTGCAAGTTTTTTTATTTGGCTCTCTTGAAGGGCCGAGAAAGATAGAAGAAAGAGAAAATAGTTAATCTTGTTTGGTATAGTTTTTTGTAGATTGGTGACGCTATTTTTCTATGCTTTTTGAGCTCTGTTGACAATGTTAGCTTATCGTGTGTGAATAAAATGCTGACTATCTGTCATTGTCATGGAATAGCTTGGGTTGACTCGTTTTCTGCAGGGAAAAAGCTCAGCACACATGAATTCGAGAAGGTTTATACAATTGTGTCAAGTTGGGCAAATGCAGAAATGGAAAGTGGTGACCCAATGTATGATCTCTATCAAGAATCTATCTTGAAACGTGGCATGATTATCCTTAGAGAAGACATAAAAGAGAAGCATGGCAAAACATTGTTGAATAAACTGGCTGATGTATGGGTTAGGTTTTATGGTGGCCTTCTGCCAATGTTGCAGATTATTTTCAATATGATGACAACACGAGGCCTAAACATTAGGCAGATGACGTTGCAGAATTTCAGAGATGTTGTCTTGTTAAAGACAGAGGCTAAAGAAGCAATATTTGCATATCCAGGAGATGTTCCCCCACCTGTTAAGCAAATGCTGCTGGTTCTTATGGTATGTGGTAGTTTCAATATGCTGTCTTACAACGTTAGTCTAGAGATGGTGTCGTAGAAATTGAGCACTGCAGTCTTAATATAGGCTTCTTCTTGCTGCATTTTTTTATCACACCCAGTTTATTTTCTTCTATTGTAGCCGTTCTTCCAAAACCGATTTTACTTTGCCTAGATTTTTTGTGAGTTTAATAAATTGGAGAACCATCCTTTTTATAGAACTTCCCTATGTTTACAACATATAATGTCGGGTTTCCGTCCAAAAAATTGCTTATCAAAATTCCTAAAATTAGGAAGCTATATTGCTAAGAATAATATTTCAGTTGCTTGTTGATCGAATTAGTTTTGTTGCAGAGTGTGCATGACAGCCCGCACCCAAGTGAAAACTACTTGAAACTGGAGCAAATGGCGTCAAGAGTTATAGTCCCATTACTAGGAGCAAAGATTCTCTATCAAGGAGAAAATGTGTTCGCCAAAGGGAGCCCGGACCCTCCAGACGGTCACCAGGGCAAGGCAACAAAGAACAGTAGCGGCGAAAGCCCGCACGGACCATCAACAAGGAAGTTACACCGGCCATTTAGCATGGTTGATCCGAGCCCGAGTGAAAAAGATCCGGACTTTGATGACCTGATCCAGTTCCGGCAGCAACAGCGGCACAGGTATAGTTACGGGGGAAGGCTAAGTGCAGTCGAGGAGGGGCAGCAGAGCTTGGCATCATCTTTTGGAAGCCTTATTGATGACTAGCTGGGTGTCTGCAACGCTCTAAATCATCTGATATTAGCAGATCTATCCAAGGTCGCGATCGGTATAAGGAATTGACCCTTGCAGCTCGCGTTCTTTCATTTCAGTACGTCATCGTCAAAGCATTTTTTAGGTTTTTGACTTTGATTTCCTCATAGCTCTTTGAATTACTTTTAAGGGTTACCACAAATGACATACGCCACTGCGAACAGCTAGAAACCGTTCTTATTTTCTCTTTGACCTGGACACTACCAAAACGACATTTTGAAAATAACCAGAATTCCAATTAATGTTCTTCTAAGGGTTAATTAAAAAGATTTCACTAGTTTGGATAAAGCTTATTTTTGGCAACAAGTTAAACATTTTTTCCACCATAAGGTAAGCTTCCCCTCCCCTAATGCGAGTCTCGTGCAATTTAAGCACCCAGTTGCAACTGCTGATTGGACAGAAAGCCCTTGATGGCTTAGGCAACACTTCAGTATTGGGTAAGACTGAGCAACAGTTGATCGTCAATCTGTGCTATGTTATATTAATATATGAATGAGAGAGACATCGTCGTTAATTATGATGTATAAAACAACTATTTTATAATCCTTATTGAGATTACATCCAACAATACCTTAAAATGTTCCTCTTGAATTATTTTAGATTAAAATGCCATTTGTTATACACACTTTTGAAAAAAATTTAGTTACAATAAAAAACAGTCAACTCTTTAAACTGATTCACTAACCAACTCATTTAATAATTAAGTTCTGATGGAAGTGAGGACTAGACTTAGCCATCTTATATCTAAATTTGCGTTTCAAAACTAATTTATTAATGAGGAACGATAATTAATTATAAAGATTAACTGTAATTATGTTATAGAGTCTTTTATTTTTCAAGGAAACGACAGTTTTTGTAATCAAAATCACAAAAATTGTTTTAATTAACATTCTGAAGCGGAGCAAAAGGCAAAGTCAACAGATGGGTTGAATGACTATGTTGGCCTCTTGGGAATCAGTTGTACACATTTTTGTCCAAATGTGGCATTTTCAGAAAGATTCTCGGCATCTACTGCGACAAATATTAGACAATTATTTAAGATCATTTGCTGCAATGAAAAACCGGAAACAAACACACACAGATCTATTGGCTTGTAGTAGCCTGTTTTGACTTGTAGTAGCCAGATGCCGCGATACCCTTTCGTCAGTTGCCGCGATAGTCCTAAGTGCCCAGTTGCATCCTCCAATTTCTGACCCCTTTTTACGTCACTAGGTATTCAACTGTAGCATTCATTATTAAAAGGCAAGGCCGGTCGGTTCGGTACACCTCTACTACCTTTTTCTCGGGGTTGATTTCACTTACAGTTTTCTAATACCACTTTGCAGAAGCATCTAAACCCTCTAACCGAGCAAGACCTCTGTTTTATAGAATACCCCTCGCCTTTGTCGGCTATAAACATATAAATAAAGTGTGTAAGAAGAACATTATATTATGAAATGAGAGATGCGTTTTAATATATAAATACATATAGTTGTATGTGACAGAGTAACTGCAATTTACTGTAGAAACGAAGATGCAAAATAGATGGTTTTTTATTTGTATTATGAAGCAATGCTTTATTGGTAAACCTGGAAACAGGAGTGAGCAATCTGTGAGTTGTGTCAAAATTGATGATATTTTAATTTCAGTTTTTTCTGTCTGGTTCTGCTTTATCATTCAAGCATACTTGAGCTGATATGATCGATGGCAAAGTTAAATCGATAAAGGCTATTTGGATTTTGGAAACCAATATTAGGATTAACACTATCAGAAAAGCCAGAAGAAAGGAGATATTCAACGTTTACAAATAGGATCGTTATACGAACTTTTATAACTTAGATTCCGTTGTATAGTACGACTGCAGGATTTACAAGGTTATATGAAAACATTAAAGATGAATGCACTACTCAACAGACAACTGTAATCGAAGTTTAGGATGAAAGACTAAAAACTTCAGCATTTTTACAAATATGAAAAGAAATGAACGTTAAATACAGTAAAAGTGGAGAATAACACCGCGTTTCAAGAAACAAAGATAAGCGTTGCATGCAAAGCACTTGCATCTCATACTACAAGGTATTGGTATAAGAAGGCATTGGTATTACAATGCATTGGTATTATATGCTACAAAACGAGGTTTCGGTAACGAACTTAGTCGTAGCAAAGAATAGGTTCTCTGTTTTCAATCGTGCTGTCCTCGATTAAGCACAAATCAATCAGTTTCAAGAATATCCAATTTATGCATACAAAATGTATGAAAAGGTTACATTTACAAAAATTAAAGCAAAAAACTAACTAAAGTAAATACAAGCCCTAATATCTTTTGAAGCGCTTTTTCCATATACCTACACACCTTAAAGGGCATATGTCACATTAACAGTTGGCTAATAAAACAAAAGCGTTTGGAGTGGAATTCCATTGTTTCGTGACTTTTCCTTTCTTTATCTTGAATTTTTACTTCCATGCTTTGTGCTAAACAAAAGAGATGATTGTATTGCATTAGCCAATCATGTTCACGACACATGCCCTTTAACCTCTCCGAATCGTTTTCTGTTCCTGAGTATGATGAATCTCTAAGTATTCATCTTTAAGTACGATGAAGAAAACGCTTGTTATAATGAGCGCACTTGGTGAGGCCATTTCACGAGCACATTAAGAACAGTCCAAGAACGTTTTTTAAGGTTTTCATGATCAATTATCATCACACTTAATAAGTTTCATCGGTGCCAGAAATGTGAAATTCTACATCTTCAAATTTTAATGCAAAGAAAAGAGCTTAGCTCGAATCATCAAGATATTATACCATCTTGCAGGAAACAGTTGCAATAAGTATCACCTCGTCGTAAAAGGATTCGGTGACTAAACATTCACCACGCTAACAATAATTCAAGGTTTTATGGTTACATATTAGTCCATTCGTCTAACAAGCCATGTTGGTGGCCACTGGACTGGACCACAGGATCATGATAAAAACGTTGCTTTAATCAAATGACGTCACCAAGTTGTCATAATGTCGCAAGAAGTTATGGGTATTTCTACCTCCAACACACAAAAGCATAGAAGTGGGAACGGAAAATTGTATTAAAGAAAGAAAAAAGGTTGATTGTCCTAAGTATAAAAAAACTTTACTGCCTATGCTACTAAAGTAGCAGCCAAAAAGGCTTTCGTAATAATACAAGTCTATGACCATATAATGGTGGCCAAAAGAATACCTCTTCATATATATATATATACATTGGTGCCTTTCCGGTTGAAGTACAAACGAAGATTCAGTCGATAACCACAAACGCCTTCAGAAACGCAGCGAATCATCAAACTATTGCATTGATGCTGCCAATAAACAATAGCGGAATCATTGAAGGGTTCATCACCGTTTACTGTTGATTGTTGAGCACCACTTTTCAATATGATACATTAGAGAACCGCTTCTAAACATATAAATATACATCTGCAAATCTTCTAGACGCTACTTTGTTATCAAACATCACTCTCAAAGACAATTCTCTGGTGTGTTGTGGAATGTACGGAACTCGGAATATGGCCGATGCTCTTCCAAAGCCTTTTCTTCGTACAGCCAGCTTTTTCGTTACCCTGTAACAGCAGAAATATATTTCATTATAGTAGCTAGTACAATAGAATGAAAAAACGTCAAGAATGGGAGAGCTTAAGAACGAAGTTTTCGAGAAGAAAATCACTTGTAACAAGCGTCAGTTTAGGGAACGGGGTAATGGGGATCCCCCGTAGTGTAGTTGCGTCGTGGTCTGGACTAAACCTCTCAACAGACTTAACATGAAAACTCTTTTTCGTCTGCTTATACTCAAATGTTTTCGGAAAATTGGCCTCTTTCATCCTCTCTAGAATTTGATCGCCCAAATACTACTTATCTCTAAATGGCTCTTTCTTACAAGGGTAGGCATGGGAAAGTGGGTCCCCTTCTGAGAGGAAATAGGTTTTTTCAGAGAAGTCATCTTCTTACGCGTAACGTAAGCTTACAATTGTATATTGAGTGAAGAGCAGCCCGTATAAAAGTGTCTTTTGACAAAATACCGTCTTTGGTACCTCTCTCGGACTCTCCCGGATTCCTTCTGATGCTGCATTGCCAGAACATATGAACTTCCCTCGTGCCTGATAGAATGCATCTCTTCTTGTCATACTTTATGCAAACTTAGCATTCTATGTGCATTGCTTCACGAAGCATTCTATGTGCATTGCTTCACGATTTGTACTTACCTCGTGGAAATTTAACAAGAAGAAAGATGCAAAAAACTTAATATTTTGATTAAAAAGTCTCACCTCAAGTTTTCCTTCAGCCATCGTTTTTGTCTTTGTTTCTAGTGATCTCAACTCGGCCTCCATCTTTGATATCTTTTCTTCAACTTCCTTGAGTTTCAAATCCTTCAATTCAAGCTCCTTCCTTAACTTGATATTCTCGTCGGATCCTTCTCGTACCTTTGAACTACCGTCTGATGACTCTGGACATTCCTCGACTTTCCCAATAATATGATCGGTTAAATTACGTTCACTTTCTAGGACGCAGATATCAACACCACTGTCTCTTGTGTGAACACACTTTGGACCAGCTTTAGATTTTAAATCACCACTTCTCATTACGGATCCATGGTCTACATTGTTATGATCGAAAAAATCATCGCAACTAGTTGTAATACCTTGTTTGGTTTCCTCAATTTGTACACCTTTTTTATCCATCTGACCAATAATATTACCCATTGGATGTTTATTATTATTTATCAAAACTTCCTCTTTACTTAGTTGTTTAGCTTCACTTCCTTTATACTCGTCTTTAGATTCAAAGCCCTTTCTTCCTTCACCACCGTGTAAATGGCTCATTTCAATGTCCTGGATGCATCCAATCTCTTTATAATCTGCCTCATCATAGCTGCACTCTGAGAATAGAAATCTTAGGCGATCCAAAACCTCTTCTCTCGTAGCCTTTTGATTGTCAGTTTTGGTGGTGTCTTGGAGAAGCATTGCATTGACTTGAAGCAGCTGAAATTGGTAAATAATTTAATAAACCAAAACGCAATTTCAATCCATGGTCATTCGTAATAAGCAATGGAGAAAACCCTATAATAACTTTCAAGAAAAAACAGTTCAAACTTACATTGAATCTTTTTTGCATATGGTAGCTCTCTACAATTGATTAATGCAGAGAGTGTGTGTGGGGGAGGGGGGGAGGTGTCTACACTCCCAGATAACCCAACCATACTATGGCATAAAAAGCCCGCTCAGAACACACTTTATCACAAAATCTTCGACTGCCCAGCAATTGGGCAGCCCAATTAGTTAAAAATAAATATTTGCTTTGCTGAACCTCTGTATGCTGTTGAAAAGCATTGGCTACCTTTAATTAACTTGTATTCATTGTTGTTTGTTCATTGGCACGTTGCAGGGTTCTTTATTTTCCACACAAAAAATAATACACCTACCCTATCATTTTCTTCAGTTAAAACTCCAATTAGTTCATTGGCCTGCACTAACAATTCTTGAGTGACTTTCAGCTGTTCAGTTGTATTGATTTTATCTATGTTCCAGTCGTCTTCAAACAAATCAGAGTGTCTTTTCTTTGCCAAATTCCACTCTCCACTTGCCCTTTTGGAGTTTTTACGTGTTAATGAGCACTGATTTCTTTGTTGGACAAAATCCTTGTGTGTGAATTCCTTTTTGATAGTGTTTTTTTCTTTAAAAATATCATCTTCTGATGATGTTTGTGTTGACACATCCATAACCAACCCTGCAAACTATTTCAAAATAGAAAATATCACTAAAAACCACAGCAATTCTATAGGAAAAGGATTTATCTAGCTTATTAACAGACTGGTTGACTGAAACAATAAGTAGGTGATAAGAGTAATTACAATGATATTATTCTCAGAAATTGAGGTCCTGATAACTGAAAAAGCTTTTTTATCTGGAAAATATGGTAGATAAACATTTTGATATTTCAAGCTTATGTTTTGCTGACTTCAATGCTCCCTAATTTCCAATATGTTTCTGTTATGTTTTGCTATAAGCATTCATTTCTGTGGATAATCTCTGCCATAGCTAAACATGATAGACTTGTGTAAGAAAAATAATATTGAATATTCACCACTGAGCACCAATACCTAATGAACAAATTCTTGGGACAGGGTGTCCTTCTTATCACTCTGCAGTAAAGTTTGGGTGTATGTATATTTGTATTATTGCACTCTATTGTTACAAATTTGTTAGATGTTCTAAACAGGGGCAGATCCAGAGCAAACTTGAAGGAGGGGCAGTTGGTTGTGGGGGCGCTGAAAAATTTTCGAAAATTGATAACGAGAGTATGCTGTATACAACAATTTCAGATCCATTTTAGAAATAAATAACATAACTTTGATGTAATCCTTGAAGCAAATTAACCTATCGGTCTCAGAAACTTTTTCACCTGATTCTCATTCTTCGCACCATTTCCAAAAAGGGGCACCAGACTTGCTTCAACTCATCAAGGGAGAGGCAACTGCCCCCAGTTGCCCCCCTTAAATCTGCCACTGGTTCTAAACCCTTTATGAAAAACCTTCATGGGCAACTTAAAAGGGAAGTGTGTTTCTATTGATTTAGGATAGAATAAGCAAAGTAGTGAGAAAATTATAGATTTTTCTATAAATGGAATGAATGTTTCTCACTGGCATGGAGATACTGTAAGATAAAACAACTGGAAAAAAATTATATACAATTTAAATCTGTTAGAAAAATGGTAAGACAAAAAAACATCAATTAGTATTCCTTTCATACAAGAGCTGTTTGTGGCTTTAACAGTAAATTGCTAACAGGAAAAGAACATGGTAATACACGGACAAGAAAAATGAAAAAATAAAATGCAATGGACAAATGGTCAAAATTTTTAAAAAAGCAAATGGTATCAAAGGTTGAAGCCTTCAGATAAGCAAAGAAATATTTTTCTATTTGCAACATTGGAAATTTAAAGAAAGAACACTGGAGAGAAAGCATAATGATACCTGTGAACTGAAATCTTCTCTTTCAACTTCCTTTTTTTCAGTCAATTCTAGTGAAATTTCTTTTGATTCCACCTCAGTGAATGAATTTTGTAACAATTGGTCTTTGCTTTTTTCATCACTAGAAAGCACTTTGAAAGCATCAATTTCTGATTTTAAAGAAACACACTCTTCCTCTTTAGCTTTTAATTGATACTCTAACTTGGTTACTTGCCCTAGCAGCCTAGCAACTTGAGATATTGATGTGTCTTCTTCTTTGTTTCTCATTGCCTTCTGCAAATTCTTGATTTCCATTTCAAGATCTTCTTTGAATGAAACTAATTCAGACAAAGCTTCTGGTCCAAAGATGCTCTAAAAATGAAAAACTCAATTACAAACAATAATAGAAGCATACTCGTTGAAACTAGAAAGCATGTGTTTGCCTTTGATTACATCTGCTAGTGAGGTATGTATTGGCAGGGCATCAGAAGCATTTTACAGTTGAAGAGGCACAGTTGGAGAGGCATCGTTGGAGAGGCACAATTGGAGGAGCATTGGTAGGATAAGTCACTATATCTTAAAAATAGACACCATTGCAATGGTTTACAAAGGGCAATTCTATAAAGAGGGGGTTTTCTAAAAATAAGGGAAAGTGACCCCTGGTGCTCCCTGGTTCTGTCATCCTTTTATCATAATGCCCATCACAATGTCTTGCTCCATAAAAGCAAATTTCAGGGCATCCCATCTTTTTGCCAAACAATTACGATTTTCAAAATCTTTGTTATGGTGTTTTTCCTTGGCACCCCCCCCCCCCTTTCCAACCTTCCAACCTATGTCAGAGCCCATGAATTTAATTACTCTACTATCTATGAACCCGACTCTTTTTCCATTACAAAAGAACCAAGAGCTTTGATCTTTTATTGACCTGTACAAAATCTTTGGGATAGGATTTTCCAGGTCTGAAAAAAACCTTTTCTCCACTAAGTGCCAGTCCTAAATACCATGATAAGTTAACTCTTCCCTAGACAGATAACAAATAAAAATAAAAATACTCAATACTGATGATTTGTAAATTCAAATGATATATCTTTTACCTAAGGGGGTGCTCTCTCCTCGATTAGTCCACCTACTTTGAAGGTTCCCCCCACCCCTAAAGAAATTCCCCTAGATACAGAAATCCTATGTACCCTACTAAAATTTGTCATTAATTTCTTACCTTTAAATCTGTTGTAATTTGTCATTCTAGTTAGTTGTCTGTACTTAAGATAGACTTTTTGCTGTAGTTGAATTTTAAAATCTAACTGAACTGAACTGATTTAGACTTCTCTCAATGGCTGCCTTTTTGCCAACCTGATTAATTACTAATAAAGCAGCCGGGGATTCAAAACCAAAAACGCTTAAAAAATAAAAGAGTTTTAAAAGCTTAGAAGTTGCTGCCAGTGAAATGATCAGCTTATTTCAAACATTTGCTACCTACACGAAGCACAACAAAACCAACCTCGGTGGACATGGCTGCTTTCCTCGAATGCTGTAGTTCCTCTTTGAGTTTCTTGTTCTGTTTTAATACGGATTCAAACATTTGATTTGTTGGACCAGCGGTGTTTTGCAATGCTTCTTTTGCGGTCATATCTTTTTCCAGAAGGGAGTATTTACACTGCAACCTCGCAAGTTCAACTTCCAAACTTTCTTTCTCAGCGCAAACTGTTTCCAACTCATCTCTGGTGCCACGAAGCAATGAAGACAGCGTATCGACTCCGGCTATTCTAATTTTAAGGCTTCGGTTCTCTTCTTGCAGGGAGCAAATTAAATTATCACCAATACTAGGGAAGGCTGTGCCATTTTCCATCCTTTCGACTGAACGCTTCGTTTCGCTTCCCTCCATTTACGCAACCTTGTAACTTACTTTCACCGATAGAAGCTGAATTGAAAAGAGATAATTGTTTCCACGTGAAACCGTTAAACAACAACTGTTCTATATTGTTTTGTATTATCTCAGGATACGACTACAATTAAAGACGCCATTATTGATGGTAATCTCCTATAATAGCACCGATCACCCTGACAACGCAGAGGGGCAGATGAGAGATACGGATGGTTTACTTTTCATGTTGCAGGTACAAATTTGATAGAATCAATATTTCATATTTCTTGATTGAATTTAGCTTATAAATGGGCGAAAGACTGACTCATTCCAGTTTGTTCTCCAGGTGGCTGAAGACCCAAAAAGCAGTAGCGGAGCCACGGGGGGCAGGGGCGAAACTATCAGGGGATGTGGGGGGTGTGACACCCCCCCCAATCCAAAAAATAGTCGATTTCGCAGGGCAATCGAAGATTTCGCAGGGCGCCAAGAAGAGCTTATTGCCACGCAGAAATTCCACCTCTGAAGTTCGTAAAGAGCCGTTTAGGAATTTTGAAATATCGTATTTGTTATGAACCTCCCTTCCTGACATTGCATTTTAGAGAACGGAACAGGTATGTAAGGAAAAGCTCCGTTATTTGCAAAGCGAAAGCATTTCTTACCGAAAGTCATAGCCAATGGATGCAATGATTGATGCATATGTTTATGAGGGCAAGGTTGAGTCATGCAAATTAATTTAAGTTGTAAATTATTTTCATGACAAGCACGGCGTCACTGGGGGGGGGGAATAAGGGGCTGAAGTCCCTCACTTTGGTCAAGATAGGAATTTTTTTATCATTTTTTCTATTACTTTTTAACAGTGCATGAACTAAAAAACATAATAAATCGTTAAGATACCAATTTTGTTTCATCTAATTGCTAACTTTTTCACGTATATTTTTATTATTTTTCTCTTATTTGCATTAATTCAGTAAATCATTTTCTGTATCATTGCAATGTTTTAATTTTGGATGTGTAAACATGGCCTTCTTGATACAAGAAACTGCACATTTCTGTTCAGGAAAAAAAATTCTCCCAATCAAAACAAGATCTTCCACTGTCATTCACAACTACGTGCAATCTGAAACGAAAGGTTGCCGTTTCTTTCCTTCCCCAACGTCTAACACTAGAGTTTTAGCATGACATCCCCCTCTCTATTTTTCCCAATAAACAATAATATTTTCAATAAACAATCAGTTCTTTTAGCACAATAGTATTTTGCTAAATTTTTGTCTGAAAGGTGCTTTTTAGCCCTTTTACAAGGTATAATTTCAAAAAATTTCTTCACGTCGGACCCAACCATGGTGGGTCCTCCTACCTCACTAAACTCGACTCTTA